AGCAGGCGTTCAAAGCCAAAGAACTCCGTCACAAACTTGCAGTACTCGCCTAACGCATCATTGTGAAACGCTCTTGATGTCAAGGTCAACTTTTGTGCTTGTTCTTGCAAAGCCCCGATGATCTTGGGATGGCAGTGGCCCTGGTTCACTGCCGAATACGCAGAAAGAAAATCGAAGTATTCTTTGCCATCTACATCCCAAAGCTTTGTGCCTTGTCCTTTGCATAAGACAACTGGCAGAGGATGATAGTTGTGCGCTCCATACTTCTCTTCTGCTTGAATGATGGCTTCCTGAGCAGGCGAGATCGTCATGACTCGCCTGATGCCTGTGGCAGTAGTTCGAACCGAAGCAACCAAAAGCCTGCTGTGCCACATCAGATGGGGAGAGGCTTCGCGCCCCGCTGGCCTACACTAAGAGCCTGAGCCCGCCCAGGCAGTTCTGACGATTCTCACAACAAGCAAAGGTATGCACCGGACATCCTGCTGCCGCACATTTTTAGTGGGAACGTGCTTGTGGGACGCGGTGTCACTAAACATGAGTTCGTTAGGGGCTTGGCCTGTTTCCTGTAGTGGATGGACCTCAAAAACAATGAGTTTCGCAACTGTGCATGAGTCTTGTCTGCCCACCCGAGGCCAACGGCGGGACAGGTGAGGTCGGCATCGGGCAAGCGACTGCGTCAATGGATGGGCTGGCCTGCAGCTTGTAGAAACATCCTTTAACGTTTGAGGGCAGATTTACCCGTCTGAGACTGTGGCCCCAAACTTCGATGGACAACCTCACAGTCCCAAGTCTCATCGCACGGACTGCCCTGCCCTTCTTACACCATGCATCAGTTCTGGCCTCCCGTGCCTGGGTATGGGCAAAAATCGCTTTGCCCCATTCCTGCACCACAGTGCTTAGTGCAATGGCCTCTACCCACCATGACTGATATGTATGCTATAGCCTGCAGCCCGTGTTGCTTGGGCTTTTCACGTTCTTTTGGTGGACACTACATCACTGTGAACGGGGCTGAATGCAACACACTTTCTTGCACAAGGCTTAAAACGCGGCGGCATCTTGCATGCGAACTGGCCGGATGTCCTTCAAAGCCTCATGAGCTTCTGCCACCTGCCCGAACGACTTACCACGGCTCTGGAGCTGCCTTTGGCTACGTCTTACACGCCTTGCACTTTCACTCTCCACACGTTGGAAGCATCTTTTGGCGGTACATTGGGCAAGGGGTACTCATTAAATGACTCCCGCCCGACGTACATTACAGCACGAAGCTCTGCACTAAAGCGAACTGTGCGATCACCAGTAGTTGAACAGAGGGGCTATATCCGCCCAATTGCACTTCCCGGTAGAGACCCATTGGCTTTAATTTTCGCCCCCTCCGCCAAAGACACTCCCCATGGAACGACGTTTAAAGTGAAAGGAACCTTTCTGGGTGGCTGCGCCCTCCTTGCTCTCCCGGCCTGTCTCCCCCCCAACTAGTGGACATGTGACTGGCCGCAGCTGCCCAGGATGCAGAGGAGAAGACCGGAGGATCAGAGGACCGCGAAAGGGACCGGGAGAGCAGGACCAGGGGCGGAGAACCAAGAGAACAAAGGACCAGGAGACCAAGAGCACCAGGGAACAGCAGAAAAAAAAAAAAAAAAAATCCCCCCAAAAAAACACAAACAAAAAAAACATACTTCGTTTAAGTTGAATCATTTTCCTTTGTGCTTGACTGCCGGGAGGCCTGGCTCCAAGTGGTTGGTCCCGCCTCCTGCTTTTTGAATTTGAAAGGGCAGCCTCCCAAACAGCCTCGCCGGGGCCTTCCAAGGGTTCGAACCGCTCGGAGCCGACGCCACAAGGATTCGAGCCCAGCAGAATGAGTCAGAATGAGTCAGAATGAACTTACCTTGCGGCCAACTCAAATTTCCAGCTTAATTTCGCGAAACTGCCAATTGGGCCGTGAGCTTGCTGAGCTCGCTGTAGTTTGTACAGTCACAAACAAAGGGAGCACAAACGGGAGACGAACAGCCTCAGACGCGACTCCCAGCATCCAGGGTCTGCCCGCTTCCAAAAAAAAATGGGAGACACACAATCCCAAACGGGTGTCACAGTATCCGGGGCCTGCCACCTTCACATGACAAGGAGCCAAAGCCAAATGGGAGACAAGCGGGAGATAAACAGTCCCGGGGCGGACATGGCAACATCCAGGGCCTGCTCACTTCACAGAAGGGCAAATTCAGAGACCCCAGCCCCAGACGCTACAATGCATCCAGGCCCTGCTCACTTTACGAAGAAAGACACATGGCAGACAGCGGTCCCAGACACTCACTTCATAAAGGGAGACACATGGGTGCTAAATGTAGGACAACAGCCCCAGACGGGCGTTTCACCCAAGCAACATCGCTGAAACCCTTTTCTTTAAAACAAACCCAGAACCTCCAGAACAAAGGAAAACAAAATGGAGGGACGGGTCACAACATCCAGGTCCGCTCGCTTTTGACAAGGGGAACAACAGTCCCAGACGAGCCGAGACAACTGGGAGACAAGTGAGAAACAACTTTGAGAGTAAAGCCATGAGAAAGCCAAATGAACTACCACAGATATTTTTGTTTCAACTGCACCAGCTAAAAACACAAAAGGAGACAAATGGCAGACTGTTGGGTGAGAGGCGCGACGGACGTCAGTCAGAGCATCACAAAAGGAAACGACTGCGAGACAAAAACCCCGAACGGGCATCACAGCATCCAGTGTCGAGACCCATGGGAGACAACTTTTGGAGTAGAGCCGAGTGAAATCCAAATGAACGTCACAGAAGCTGCTTACTCGGCGCTGCCTGAACTGTTTTTTGGGCAAGCCAATTTCATGAAGGCAATGGAAGGACCCCTTCGGCCTTCATAGCGTTCCATGGGGTTTGTTCAGTGATCTTCGGCCCCATCCTGGTTAATGATATGGGTACCTGTTGGAAGGGGGGCGCTCTACTGTGCCAACTATGTATGACACCTAGACCTAGTAACCTACTTGGATGAATCACACGCAACCCCGGTTGCCCATTTCCAGTCCTTGCGGCCCCCATGCGACACCTGACTAAACAATCTCCATCAGTGGCCCTTTGACTGTGCCTATCAAAAACTTGCATCTCCTCCCACCAACAGCCCGGGCCCAAGATCATGATGCTCACCGCTTTTTTGCTTCCGGTACCCCAAAAATTGTGTGGATCTTGCAACATGTGCTTTTCACCACTTCTGGGCTACGATGCGGAACGTGTGTGCAAAACGAACCGTTAAAAAAGTTGTTGCGACGGGTCGCTCAGGCCTCCGCGGGGGTGCTTTACTAGAAAGCTTGGTAAATCTCCGCCACGGCCCTTGGTGCCCTTGCGATGCATATTGTGCTTTGAGAGCCCTCTGACGCTTTTTTGGTGCTAAGCCCCGCCCACAGAAAGCTCAGGGCCGATTCCGGGCATGGCCACGCAGCTTGCAGCGGGGGTTCTGGGGTCGTGGGGAGTGTGTGAAATGGTGTTGTCCTCGATTGGGTAAAGTCGTCTGGGGAGGGGAGATGGGGGGGGGGGCCGAAAGAAGGGTGCCACGTGCCGGCCACTTCACTTAGGACATCTCATAATCACTGCTGGTGTTGCTCCCACCCGTACTCCGTTTTCCGATTAATGCTCACCTCAAGCAGGACGCAGCTGATGCTACTGATGCTGCAGATGCTGCAGATGCCCCGGGTCGATGATCCCTGCTAGGGGTCCCCTCAGAACATCATCGGCCTCGCACAGCCTTAAAGTGAGCATCATCGGCACCCATCTAGCCCGTGGCCCCACAAGGCGAGCAGTCAAGCTCGAGAGAAACACGGTCCTTGCGTTACTTTCGTCAGTCCAAGCCCTGCACCGAGCATCATTGGGCTGGCTGTCTGCTTCCCGCAGGCTATCCCCGAGGTGGCAAAAGCATGGGCCTTGTGAAACGATACCGCCAGCATGGCAAAGTCATTTTCAGCCGGGCCTTGCACGCCAAATGACGGTAAATGACATGCTGACACTCAAACGTGTCATGCAACCCCTGTCCGTGAAAGATGCTGAAAAATGCTCCCCAAGCCTGCAGGCGGATCGCGCACATCGCCACCGGCGTCCCTGTTCCTTGACAGTCGACATTGCCGAGGACTGTTTCTGCGAATCCGTCATTTTGACACATTAATGAGACGCATGCGCAGTTAGAACTTGGCCGCTCATCTGTGCCTCAGCCGCGAAAAGCTGACTGAACGACAAACGTTGTACTTTCCGAGCATGCCGAGGCTATGCCGGGTTAAGATGGGTTAAGATGGGTTAAGCAAGCCACTGCAGTTGTGGCATGTTGTAGGGCAGCGTCTGGAGCCTGCTTCGAACTTCAAGGCTGCAGGTGCCAACGCTTTCCATGCAATGCACTCTCTACAATGCTGGCACTCTCACAAAAAGGATCCGATTGCTGCATTCAGATGCGTTCAGTATGGGTGCCTCGCTCTCCATGTGACAGGAAGCAAGGTTGAGATGAGCTGCCACCTGACGAAGGGCTTGACGTGTTGGGTCGAAGAGTCTTCTATTGGGTGTGGGCTGAGCTGAGTAACGAACCAACGTTCTAAGGTCTGCAACATCCACCTTCAACAGATGGAGAAGATTACAAGTAGTGACAGTCACGGCTTTCTGCTCTCGGCAGGGCCAAGTCAACACGGCCCTCACCTTCTCACAATCAGAGAGGCGGACCTGCAGAGTTTCCAGGAAGTCCCTCTGCATGCCATGCTTACCACAAGCATCTCGACTGGACCTGGTGATGCTGGAGTGCCAGCTGCCTGACATGAAGCAGGCGGGGACCATAACGACACATCAGAAAAGAGTCTGCGATGGGGATCGTTGTGCAAGCCGTGCTTTGCTTCTGCTGCTTGCAGGCGAAACGAAAATACAAAAAGCGAACTCGTGCTCGTTCATTCCAGAACAGAATGCATCACTCGCGCAGGATGCTTCGCAAGAACTCGTTTGTGTCGACTTTCTCCACTCTTCTTCACTCATCAGGATATTGTATTGGGACGACTAGGAACAGATTAGAAAGGTACGAGTGAACCCATCAATGCAACATGCAGGGTCGACAGCTGGTGCACCGCATTCCCAAAGTCTTTCAATCTCCTGAAGGCGCAAGTCTTCGGCGAGATTCAGCAAGTTGCTGATCCTTGTCTGCCACGTCGCTCCTGTAGCATATACCGAGGTTGCCGGCCTTGCGAATTAGAACCCTCTCAATTCACAACGCGCTCGACGTGCAATCTACGCTCCGGCGCGCCCAGCTTCCTGAAGAGTAAGCTTTAAGAGCCTGGCGATATCTGCTTGCAGCGCTACGAAGCTTTTATGCTCCGTGTCCATCACGCCTCAACTCGCACATCTGCATGGATCTGCAAGATGCACAGCGTGAACTACCTGCGCGCCGGACATTTGATCACACGTGCCACAACAAGCACAAAGTATGCAAACACATGTTCATATGCGTATGCACATGTGTATGAAAAATATGCGAACATGTATACATACATATATAAATATATGAGCGTGTTCTTATCGTTGTACGTATTTGTATGCTGAAAACATACGCCGTGCTGATATATACATATTGAACACTGTAGTCCTCATTGGTCCGCCAGTTTAAGCTCTCAGGCACGGAGCAGGATTGAGGGTTTCACGGGTTGGAACTAGAGGGCATGTGCTTCAAATCAAGCCCTTTGCGTGAGTCTGCACTTGCCATCTGCAACTTCCAATTATGCCAAAAAGGATTGAAAGTTGAACTTTTTCTGTGATCGACGACGGAAGATTGAAGATCCAGCAAAATTGTCTGTCCATCTTCCACCTTGCGTTGCAGAATCAATCTAGATAATCTAACTCGATTGCCTTGAACTTGAACTTTTTCCCAAGATGCATCTGGCTGAACAGGCTGACTGTTTACTCGGTCCCAAAGGAAACGAACCGCGCTAGCTGTGGAGCACGCAATGCAGCATCTGCGACATACAGGCCGCCTCCCCTGCAAACCAGCACGGTCAGGAGTCTGCTGTCCCGCCAGATTCAAGCGGCCCCCGCCCCACCATGGTGTGCTCCGGCGGGGGTCTAAGGGTCTTCAGGCACTTGGGCCTGAAAACCCTACAATGACGCCAGAGCTCTAAACCAGAAGGCCTGGCGGCCTAAACCCTAACCCCGAACATCCACAGCCACATTAGGGGGGGGGGGGGGGGTGGGAGTAACTAGATCATAATCATAACGGTAAAGCCCGAAAGCCTACACCCGAATCCCCTGATGTGAACCCTAAATCCCTAAGCCTTAAAAGCTCCGTAAGTCCCTAGAACCCTAAGCTGGTACGAACTTCGTAGGGGCCCAGTGCTCGCTTGGTGCACACATAGCCTGGTTGGGACATGCGGGCACCGGCAAAATAGAACGCCATGCATCTGACAAGCATTGCGCTTTCATGTTGCCGGATGATGGGACCCAGCACGCACGATGTTCTTCCGTTTCTGGTGGCCGACGCCACTTTCCAGTCATGATACCAGACGCTTCCTGTCCGCCACTCCACTTCCACAAGGCTCTTGTTTCTCCCCTTCTCGAGGGCCAACCCCTCACTTGTGACTATAAAATCTTCTCACTTGTGACTGTTTTTCTCTCACTTGTACTAGAGAATCTTCTCACTTCTGACTTTTTTGAGCTCACTTACGAAAAACGCAGCTCCGGCTCGAGAGGGCTCAAAAACTCACTTGAGTTTGTGTTTTTTTGCAGGGGTGGCTCACTTGTGACCATTTTGTAGTCACAAGTGAGTCTTGATTTTGGGGAAATAGTTACGAGTGAGCGGGAGGGGTGGAAACGACCTGCTCCCGGAGTGGGGTGGGGGGGGGGGCTTGATAATAGCGTGTTCCACGTGCTCCCCAACAACAGTGGGGTGTGGCGGGGTGGGGGGGGGTTCTTGAGAATAGCGTGTTCCACGTGCTGCTCAACAACAGGGGGGTGGAAAGGAAGGGGGCGGGGGCTTGATAATAGCGTGTTCCACGTGCTGCTCAACAACAGCGGGGTGTGGTGGGGTGGGGCTTGATAATAGCGTGTTCGACGTGCCCCCAACAGCAGCGCGGTGTGGTGTGGTGGGGGGGAGGGGGGCTTGATAATAGCGTGTTCCATGCTGTTCAACAGGGGGGGTGGAAAGGACGTGCTTCTCAACAACAGTGAGGTGTGGGGTGGGGGGGGTTAATAATAGCGTGTTCACAGCCAGGTGTGGTGCTTTGCAGTGTTTTGAGCCTCTGTACGCAAGAAAAGTCACAAGTGAGAAGCAGCCTAAGCGCGCCCCGAGTGGTGTGGAGCCAGTTGGAGCATGCCTGAGTGCGCCCCGAGTAGTTTGGAGCCACCCCCAAGTGGTTTAGCATGCCTAAGTGCGCCCCGAGTAGCTTCTTTCAAAAAGTCACAAGCGAGAAACAAGAAAAAGTCACAAGCGAGAATTCAAACAAAGTCACAAGCGAGTAAAGATCCCTTCTCGAGGATAAAGCGTTTGGTAAATGGGGCTCGCATGCGCCTTTCTGGAGGCTGCGACACACTCAGACGGATTGTGGTTTGCCATCGGGTTTATCGTCCCCCATTTTACATCGGCGTCTCGGGCTTTGATGATGCCGTCTCGAATGGCGTCCTCGTTGTTTTGGTGTTTTCCCACTTGGCGCCGGGATACAACCGGAACCAAGGAACTGCCCATGTTGATGTTGATGCGTAGCTGTCTGACCATCTCCTTTTCCAGAGCCAGTGCCGCTTTGCAACCCACATAGATAATATGCATACACATTAAACCAAATGAAAATACAACAAAAGTGGCAGCGGAACTGCAACGCAGGTGCAAATCACAGGCCGAGAGGGAAGCCCATGACTGGCTCGGCCCGCTCCAGTAGAGCCTGTAGCACTTCCCACGCCCCTAGTGACCCTACTGCAACTTGTCTCTCAACCAAATCATTTCGAAATTGTAAACATGATTCATTTAACCTGATTCAACATGCGCGCTTGCACCTGCCCTCGTGTCAACTTCCGTACCGCTTCCTGAAGTTCGCCTTTGCCTTGGCAGTTCTTTGTTCGTGGTCGCTGAAAGTCAAAAAGGACTTCCGCCGGTTTGGGAGCCGGCGCAGCAAGGCCGCACCATCGGAGCAACAAGATGATGCTATTTGCCGCAGTTCCTCCAAGCATTTGCTGGGATACGATAATTGGACAGTTACGACAGCCGAGCAGTCACGCACACGCCTCTGGAGATGCTGAAGTTTCTGAGTCTCTGGACTGCTCACAGTGCTCAGCCTCAGAAAGCCCAAAATGGTACACAGCGTTACATGGGATCACAGCATATCGCCGTCGCACCAGCTCAACAGGCGTTGGATGGCAGGTTTGGCCATCCCATGGAACGGTTGAACCCAAGCCGACTGCACTGTGATCCTCATGCCCGTCAGGAACTCCGGCATCCTAGGAGCCGCAGAGCCATCGATTGCATTACCAAAAAACTAGAAGCACAAGTAAGCACTTTCGCCAAATGTGCGCGCCTCTTCCCTGTTGGTAGCGCTGGCTGCATCATTGACTGCGGCAGCATCCTCAACCTGGTCCTCACCATCCTCACGACCACTTTCCTCAGATTCCGTCTCCTCCTCCATCACCTTCAGCTCTTCTGTGCCTCTCAGCTTGGTCCACAGATTTGGGGGCTGCAAGGGCTCAAAGGCCTTCAGCACGTTGCGAAAGGTGCAAGCGTCTCCGAAGTTAAGCGCGCTGGGACCAGCCTGAAGAACTTCCGCATGTCTTGTACACAATGTGTTGTGAAGACGTGCCACTATCACCAGAGCATCCGAGTTGAGACACTCTAGACAGGTCAACTCAGCAGCTGAGCCCAGAACATCTTACCGGCCCGACTAGCGACTGCTACCAGCTTGAGGCGATGTGCAAAGGCACCCGCTGGCGTCCGCTCCAAGCTAGGGAATTTTCGGCAGACTGCAACGTGTACATGCATGCACATGCATCCGCCATGCAAACTGTTACTTGGCTTTTGTTTTTGCTGGCATGCATCACAAAGCGGGCCGTGTGTTGGAAAGTGCTTCCCTGTACACAGGCACTGGTCGCTGATGCTCCCCAAACAAACGTCACTTGCTGTTCATGCAGCACTTCTTATACCTCAGGACGCTCACACGGCTCTGCCATGCTGCCCGTGTACTGACAAGATATGCTGACTGCAAGCACAAACAAGGAAACACATAGCCAAGCAGAATTGTGGAAAACCTGCCGAAAAGGATGGAGCCATATGCCAAAGAGCTGCTTCTTGCCAGATCCACAAGCACCTTGACTTGCCAATGCACCCACACAAGAACTTTCGAAAGATGTAAGCAGGTGCGCCCGTCTACTGCATGCATCCGAGCTTCAATTATCGTTTGGCTTTAGCTTCGGCGCTGACTTCACAGAGGGGCCGCCAGTTGACTTCACAACAGGCTTGAAGGTCTGATCCTCTCTGACACACGTACAGCATTGTACAGCTATGGTCATAACAAATCAAGGGCACTGCAGGGAACACGGGCTCATGCGGCTATGCAGAAACCACCATGGGGATTCTGAAAGCGGTTTCGTACAATGGCTCTTCTCGATTCCACCCTGGTCAGGCGCAAACTGCGACGTGCTCCTTGTAGAGTTTGAACGAATGGTCAACTGGGTTGGTACTGAGCGTCTGCTTCGCCAGCTTGTTTGGCATGACACCTGCACCCAAGCACCGAGTCCAAACGGCAATTGCAACTGGACCTTCCTTTGTGCTCGGGCCTGTTCCGCCCGCCCAAGCATCATAGCAGGACTCGCACACATCGTGCGAGGCGCATGACTTGCAAGCATAGCGGTATCCAAAAATGGGAACGACCGCACAAGCATCACCTCGCATCCAGGGCTAGGAAAGATTGTGACTAGTGCTGTCACTGCACATTCCACTCTAGAACCCGCAGTAGAGCCAGTTGAGTAGAATCAGGGTTCGGAGGCTGGCCCTGGTTGCCCTGATCTCTTCTCGAGGCAGCAGGATGCTCCACAAGATCACGATCCATTCTTGCAGCACACGACGAAAGAACGCAGCCAAGTCACATGTAATGCCCTGGTGTTCTCCGTAATAGGACGTCCCCTTCTCCTCAATCTCCTGTTTCTTTGCTTCTTGAAAGGCTTTGAGCGTCTCAGCCTGACGGGAGATGGGATGTCCAACAATCCAGACGTGAAGATGAATCTGCGACTCTCAGCATCCGCTCCACCATTTAGCCTTCTGACGTTCAGCTTGTGCAGCTGCAACGCGAGCAGCAATTTCAGCTCGTTTTGCTTCCTTTGCTGCTTCTTCAGCCGACATGGCCATGTCGGCAGGATCCTCTCATTCACACGACAAAAACAAGTCTTTGCACTCATGTCCCGAGGCATATGGGCCACTGGGAAATGTTATGATTGGACATGGCCACATCGTTCCTGCGAATTAAGACTGCTTCGTAGAGGTCGTAGAGGGTAGTGAAGGGCGGAATAGAGATGAAGAGATGCTGTGCGTTTAACTGCCGAATGCTGGCCTCAGGCTTCGTTGAAGCCTGCTCCGGCTGGGAGCTTGGATCTTGGATTGCCTTCCGTTGCCCTGCCCCTTTCCAAATGAAGCAAACAGAGCAAATGCTCACGCACCTGCTCGCCCATGATCTTTTTGCACGGGACGGCGGCAGTCGAACCCCTACAATCTCTCAAGCATCCCGCTACGGCTTCCAAAACAATGCTGCGGCCACAAAGGGCGTTGCGCATGCCATGGCCCTGTGCTGAACTCGCGCAAAGTTGTGCAATTGTCTACGTACTTGCACCCCGTTGCATCGCACGTGCCCTGGGTTCATTTTTTGCCGGGTTTTGCACCTCTTGCATCGCAACGTGCATGAGAATGCTGTGCAGGCAGCCTGCGGACACCCTACAGGTCTGTCGATTATTCTGGCTCTTGTACTGTACAGTACTGCCTCCAGTGGACCTCCAGACGCAGCTGGTTTCGCATGCTTACGAGCTAGTTCTTCTAGCCTGGCCCAGGCCAAAAAAGGGCTGGTCGTACCGCGTACCGCTCAGAGGTCAGAGGCGCCGCGTTCATGCCGTTCTCTGCCTCTTAGGACCTTGTCGAAACCAGGTTTGCAAGAGGTTGTGTTCGGTTGGTCTTCTGCGCTCACCATCTGCAACCTGGACCTGCCCATGAGCTCTGGGCTGCTGCCATCGTCAGCAAGGCTCGCGGCCTTGTCATGCCGGCAGCAGCCAGCAGAACGATGCGGAACGCTTGACACAAAAATGCCGATGCTTAGCAGGCTTAGCATGGAGAAAGCAGGCAGATACAATCAAGCTTTTTGCTGCAAACATCCTGCATTGCGTTCATGGGGCTACGATGGTTTCACAAGACAAAAGATCCCGGAGGCCGACCTCCTCGGCGGCGGCAACCTGATTACACAAGTACTCTGCAAAACGCCATAACCCGAAACCCATTTCTGAGCATACCTTGGACAGTTACTTCATGCAGTGTGCCTCCTGGGCACCATGTTTCCTACACCTTACGTGTACTGCCATCCTACCAGCCTCGCCCAAACGCAACATCCCCAAACCGGCACGACGTGACTCTGCAAACGCTACTGCTTGAATCAGAAGATGATCACAAGCCAAGAGTATCAAGTTCAAGCCGGCATCAAGAGCAAACGCGCCGGTGCAGTCAGTCATTGCTTCGAACTTCGAACACCCCCCCCCCCTTTCCCAAAGTCAAAACGAAACAATTTTGTCGTCGTCAGTTAGATTGAGATGATTGAGCACTTCAGAGATACACAAAGGATACGATGTATTACTATGTCAGATACTCTGGAGTTTGGCACCTCAGGCATACGCGGGGGATTACTCTGTGGCCTCTGTGGGGTACTGCTAGAGTGGAGGGTCTCCAGGTGCGCTGCCAACTCTGGCATTTCAACTCTACTTTACTTTTATGTAAGGGGCTGCACTCGTAGCCTTGTATCCCGGTCCCGCACCTGAAGCTCACCAGTTGCAGGCCGATCATCTTGATCCTGACATGACTGCATCCACAACGAGCTCATGAAGGCATTTGCTCGGGGACGTGGGTGTCATCGAACTGGTGGCGATGCCGAACACTTCTCGGACTCCGCACTGTTTGGGGACATAAGCTGACTCGGCCCTGTCCTCCGACCCGCGCCGATTCGCAGTTCTTTTGGAGAGTGTGGTCACCGGTTTTTCTGACCCGAGCTGCTACAGATGACAGCTTCTTATCGTATTTATTACGCCTCGAACGTGGGGCAAGTTGCTGGCTGGCACTTTTTTTTTGTTGGGAGGGGTGGGGGGGGGGGTTCACCCCCACTCCATGTGCAAACACAATAGTTGCATGAAGGGTTTGGAAAGATTCCTAATTATGTTCTTCATGGGTTGATGTTCTTGACAAAGCAAACTTGCATGGCTTGAAAATAAATGAAAAGCGGGGGTTGGATTTGGAAAGGATTCGTATGTTTTAAGATGCAAGTCTTCTCCATGGAATTCCTTACAAAGCAAGCCTGCAGGGGAAAAAAGGGCGGGTGCAGCCTCGCCATTTGCAAACGCAATGCTCGCGCGACGGGCTTTCACAAAACCCAATGCCCGTATGACAGGTCTGGAAAGGATTCGTATATGTGCTAATGCAAGTTCTCTACGTGGAATCTTCTTTGCAAAGCAGGTTTGTACATGTCGTGTTTGAAAACGCAAGTCGTCTTCATGAGCTAATGTTCTTTACAATACAAGCTTGGGCCGTTTCTGAGGAAGAAAGCCCGAGCAAGTGCAAGGATTCTGAGGGCAAGAAAGTCGCCTTTGAGTTTCAATGTTTGGGCAAAGACAGAGTGTTTGTTGACACTCGCCAAGCAGACCAGCCACAAGGCAGGGTAGGATTTAGGGTTTCGGGTCTGGGGAGCAAGCAGAATCACATCCAAGCAGTTTTTACTCAAGCAGACCTGCTTGCAAATTGAAAAGCCTTCAAGAGAATCAGAACACTTTTTACAGGGGTCCTCTATGGGCTTAGGGTTCCCAACTCAAGTCCGCCTCTGCCTAACCCAGGCCTGAAGACTGCGGGGTATCAAAAATACGAGTACACACCTCCAAAACAAAGAGCCGGTGGATTCCTCAGCTTCAGAGACAGAATTAAATTTTGACACATTCCTCTACAGCAGCCACTCCCTCCACCCAGGCGCAAACATCTTCCTCAAACCCAAGAACAAAATGGTTAACTCTACCTGGGCACCCATCAAGGCACAACACATCGCACATATCACATATCTTCCGAAAAACCTCCAGCCCTGCTTCTGAGGGTGAAGGAAAACGGAAGGACACACCAGCCACTACGTCTGAGGGCGGCGCAAGACCTAAGGCCAACCCAAGAAGCAAGGACAACTTGGCAGCCGGCTGGACAATGGAGAAAGTACAAAGGCATGGGCTGTGCGAGAACCCTTGCCCTGTGGACCGACCTCCGTGCTTACGAGTGAGACACGCTGGCGTGGCCCTGCCCCCTTCTGCGTACCCCCCCGTCTTCAAACAAAAAACTGAAAACTATGGCGTCGGCCACTGCGGGACACTCGTGGCTACATGGGCAATTTCTAGGTTGCAGGAAACTAAAAGAGGACCCATGAGACTGGCACATAAACTACACCCGCTCCGCCCCCTCCCCTTCCCTTCCTTCCCTTAGAAAGCGTTCCCTTCCCGCAAGCGTCTTGGGACCGCACACTGCCTCCTGGGTCCAGCACGAGAATCGTCTTCACAAATCGCCTTATTGAAATCGTCTGCGCCTGCCTTACCCTCCGGTGTCTTCCCGAAGGCAAGAGGTCTCCAGCAGAGAGCCTTTCCCATAAGCTGAGCCAACAGCCTTCACGTAAGGACCCTTCCTGTCCCCAAGCCAGGACCCTCCCCTTGGCCGAATGTCGTCTTCAAAGCCGAATTTCGCCTTTGGGGCCGAATTTCGTCTTCAGGACCGATTTCCTTCGCTTTGGAGAGCCCTGGACATTGGCAAATCTCGTCTTCGGGGCAGAAATTCGTCTTCGTCCGGATGTCTTTTTCGGGCCCCAAATTTCGTTTTCAGAAGCAGGGACGGAGGGTTCGGCAGATTCCTCATCAGTAGTCTGTTGAGTCATCCCCGGCAGTATGGCCGTGGAATGCCGTGGATGCCTGGAGCACCTATCGTTGGCTCTTGATTCAAGAAACCGGGCGTCCGGGGGCCTCGGCGGATATCAGGTCCTTGCAAACAATTTCGTTTTCATCGTCTTCGCAATCTCGTCTTCGCCCCCCGACAACGGCGGCTCAATGGAACGATGGACTCGCGGGACGATCGTGACGATCGTGCGCACCGGAGAAAAATCCGGAAGCAAGCAAGCCGCAAGGGGGCCTCTGCATCAAAGCCTACGTCGTTGTCGTCGTCATCATCCTCCGACTCCGAGTCTTCCGCACTTATGATCACACCCAACTCCTCGATGGAGCCTGAGCGCATGTGCAACAAACACAAACCGGATTTGATAGCCTAGGTGGCCACATTGTGAGCCAGGTGCGATCCGAGTCTTGCAGAGTGCATGTTGGCAGATATCGACGAAGACCTTAGCTGAGCAGCACGCTTATCCACTGAGCAGTATCCTGACCCTCAGCTCGAAGGTTTGAGGTCAAGACTGATTGGGGGAGGGAACTGGACCTTTGTCAGCTGATATTGTGGCTCCTCCTGCAGGAGCGACACTGTCAAAGCATTTCGCGAGGCTATGCCTGCTTCGATGGGTCCTCAATCGCAACGGCAAACTGCCCTGCCAACTCAGCCATTTCAGCCTTCCAGCAGCTGGATCTAAGCCATGCTTGTCTGAGTCAGGTGATGCACCTTCCACGAGATCCAAGAATTGTCCTCCACCTCTTTCTGAAGTACGTCTATTGGCGCAACCTGGGCATCCACGGCTTCCCAGAAGGCGTTAGGTCCACTGGGCCTACAACCCTCCAGGCTCCAAAGAGCTCGGAACGGGAACTCCGAGGATGCAGAGACACACCAAAAACTTCAAGACAAAAACACAATGAAAACATGATCCCCTGATCCCCTTTTTCATTCCTTTGCTTTGTTTCGCCTCCTCCGCACGGAAGCGGCGTTGGGGTGTGCAATTGTTTGCAGCTTTGGCAGGGCCCATACGAATCCCTCTCTCCTTCGTGATTGATGCCTGCGGCATCTTTGCAAAGTGTGCTTCGTCGATGCTTCGTACTTCGTACTGAACACATACTCGATGATTCAAAGAGCTGCCGTTGTGATGTTGTTCCGCGGCGTAGTTTCCCAAACTTGTTTCCAAACGCCAGCTGAAGGCAAGAACTGTGAACTCGGGCGTATTGTGAACGTTCGGGAAGCTCTCAACTCACTGCGACCATTCAATTCTTTCAATAGCTGAAGATAAGTCCGGAAAGTAGCCGCCCTATGACAGCTGTCGCCTATTTAGACCCCTGTCTTTGTGTTTTGGATATGCCACCATTCGCACACCTACCATGAGCGGCCATAGGACCTCATTGACAGACCCCTGTCCGTTTTGGATATACGCCTATCCATAGGCCCATATGCCAAATCCCATGTCCGTCCCGACCCCTATTCCGCTATTCCGGAGGGGGGTCTAGCGAAAATCTATAGGCCCATAGCTGCCCATCGGGCCTCCCAATCCCCCTAGCGAAGAGTCATAGACCGCTATCTCAGACCCCTATGGGCAAGTTTAGTGTCTGTTAAGGTTTAGGGTTTGTTTTTGATTTCGGGTTTGTTTAGGGTTTAGAAGTTGTTCATGGTTTTAGGGTTTTGGGGGGGTTAGGTTTTCTGTCGAGTTGAGGGTTTGTTTATGGTGTAGGGTTTGCTTAGGGTTTATTCAGGGTTTCAGGTGTCTTTAGGGTTTGGGGTTGGCTTAGGGTTCTTATATAGGGTTTCAGGTTTGTTTAGGGTTTGCATAGGGTTTAGGGTTTGCTTAGGGTATAGGGTCTGTTCAAACTTGCAGGGCTTGTTTAGAGTTTCAGGATTGCTTTGGATTTAGGGTTTGTTTAGGCTCAGGGTTTGGTAAGCTTGTGGGGTTGCTTTTTTTAGCGCTTAGGGTTTGTGAAGAGTTGGGGCTTTAAGGTTTGCTTAGGGTATAGGGTGTGCTCAAGTTTTTGTTTTTGTTTAGGGGTTTGAGTTTGTTTCGGGTTTATGGCTTAGTAAGGTTAGTTTAAGGCTTAGTGTTTGTGGGGTTTAGGGTTTGTGGGGTTTAGATTTAAGATGATTTAAGGCTTGTTTGGGGTATAGGGTTTGTTAGTACTTAGGGTTTGCTAAGCGTAGAGAGTAGAGGGTTGGTTTAGGGTTTATGGTTTGTTTAGTGTCTAGGGCTTGTTCAGGGTTTGTGTTTTCGTTTCGGGTTTAAGGTTTCTTTCGGGTTTAGAGTTTGTTTAGCGTTTAGGGTTTGTAGGGTTTGGTGCTTGTTTTGGGTTTAGGGTTTGCTTAGGGTTTAGGGTTTATTAGGGTTTAGGGGATTTGTTCAGGGTTTAGAGTTTCTTGAGGATTTAAGGTTTGTTCGGGGTTCAGGTTTTGTTTAGAACTTGGCGGCTGTTTAGGATTTAGGGCTTGTTCAGGGTTGAGGGTTTTTATGGTCTAGGTTTTGTTCAGGGTTTCAGGCGTTTGGAGTCTAGGGCTTGTTTAGGGTTTGGGTTCAGCGCTTGTTTGGGGTTTGTTTAGGGTTTGCTGAGGCTTTAGGGTTTAGTTAGGGTATGGGGTTTGTTCAATTGTTTAGGGTTTGTTTCAAAATTAAGTTTTGCTTTGGGTTTAGGTTTTGTTTAGGGTTTAGGGTTTGCTTCGGGTTGAGGAATTGATTTTCTTTTGCCACCCGCCTAGAGTTTGATTCTTTTGCGGGTTCGTTTAACGGTTTAGGGTTTCTTTGGGTTTAGGCTTCTTTCGGGTTTAGGGTTGGTTTGGGGTTTAGGGCTTGTTTTTTTTCAAACCCGTCTAGCCACAGCACAGCGGGGTTGCTTGGGCGGACTTTAAATGGCTGCACCGGAGAAATGACCCCTCTTCAAAGGCTTGTTTAGGATTTAGGGTGTCTAGGATTTAGGAATTGATTAGGGTTTAGGCTTTGTGAGGGTTGAGGGTTTGTTTAGGGCTTATGGTTTTTCAGGGTTTAACGTGTGTTTAGCGGTTGAATTTGTTTCGGGTTGCGGGCTTGTTTAGGGTTTGCTTAGGGTTTGGGGTTGACTAAAAGTTTTGGGGTTTGCTTACGGCTTAAGGGGAGGAGGGCAGGTAATCCCTGCCATCGAAACAAATGCCAGATAAGGTCGGAGCCTGCACAGCGCGCGGTTGGAAGGCGGATTCTTGCAAATCCATCCACTCGTCCACCAAGCATTCCCATGGAAGCCATACGCTGGCACAGATCTTCCCCCGGAACTTTACCTCACTCGACGGCTGTTTGGGCAGCAGGCAGGTTAAATTTATGCATGCAATTTAAACATCCTTTCAGATGCACGCGCAGGTCAACACAATGGGCCCTGCCTGCGCAGTTTTGTCAGAGGGGTCGTCCTGGAGAACCTGCAAGCTTCTGCAGGCAAGGCGGAGTTGCTTTTCGCAGGGGATCGCGTCGAGCCTAGTCGTCAGCGGCGACCCTTGAGTAATTATGTGTGTCGGCAAATTTCGGAGCACTGTTCTCTCGATTCATACGGAATGACCACATTCGTAGCCAACTCGAGTTGGCTTTTCGGTGTGCGTTGAAAATGAGCGCGGCAGGCGGAGTCGGTCGCTTTGGCTCTGCAGTCGGCTCTGCATCAAAGCTTCTAGATTCTAGGACCTAATGCTAAAGTCGGCCCATCGTGCTTTGCACTTTTGAGGCATGTGCAGGAACTATCGCAATATCAACAGCCTGCAAAACTCGATTGACTATGTCAAAGAATTGGCCAGCATTATCCAGCGTGTTTAGGCCAGGGGTCTTGCGATTGTGGTACATTGGGGCTGCTTGACGCTTCAGGCGCCCTGCAAAATGCAGTGGAGGTGAAAGCCCGCTTCTCAATGCACTATCAGTTGAGGTGCGCCCCCCAGTCGGATTCTACTTTGCATTGCGCCGGTCCAGCCTTGCCCCGCTGCTCGCAGATGGACAGCAAACGATCATCCCAATTGATGGTCTGATGTGCCTGGCAAGCTCAATCGCAGGCTTTTCTATGGCCTTTGAATCATGGGATGTTCAGGGTTATTAGTTCAGCTGTTTCATTGCTGTTTCGCCTCCACCGCGGGGCGCAGCTCGTCTGCGGACACCACGCGGACAACTCGCATGGCCCGCTCGTCCACAAGACCCTGGCGCAAATGGGCGTGGCTCTCGCTCGACATGTCCGAGCATTTGCGGGATCGTGAACCAAATCTTAGACAAGGTGAGGGTGCACCTGTGCGCGAGCCACTGCTAGCAGCTCAGGATCCTCTTCGACCAAGTTCAAAAGCTCGTCTCGCCTCTCAGGCTCCAGCACTGGCAAGCTGTGCTACTGCTTGGCCCAAATGGTGCTGCCTGGACGTCCCTTGAATTCATAGTGATGCTATGATCCACGCAGAAGCACGCACGACCGAATCAGAAAACACACAAGCATCATGACGTTGCTGCATGTGCCAGCAGGAGTCTGTGGCTCCCACGTCATGTTTTGAAGGTCAAGGGCCGGAACCACGTCTGTGCCTGACACATGAACGATGGAAGCCACACACTGCAATTGCACACAACCCTGAATGTGAACCACTTTCTGTGCAGGACACAGAGGACGTCGTGTAGAAGAATGCTGAGGCTCTGTCCATCAAGCCACCTTAGTTAGCTGGTCGAGACTTGTTTGTGGAATCTAGCTTCTTGCATGCGCCAATGAGATTAAAACAGAGGGGATGTGACTTGTGTCCAGGGTTGGGTTGGTCTTGGGGCCGCGGCTCGGGCCGAGGTTTAGGGAGGCGACTGCACTTCCCAAACTTCCAACCATAACAACATCTTAAAACATTGTTTCTGATGATTTCTCCGAAGTTAAAACATCTTTTCTCACGATCGCGTTGACGTTCACAAGGGCCAGTTTCCAGGCTGATTTCCATACAAGCAAAGGACAAGAGAGGAAATGAAACCAGCTGAATGCAACCGAACCATATCCACGTTTCAGAACGGGCAGCTATCGCATGCGAAAAAGCAGCAGTCCACTGGGGCCAGTATGCATGTCGTATTGTGTCTTCGTTTCTCTATTCCTGCCACATCCTAAGACCTGAGGTGTCGAAAGCCCAGGACGTTCTCCCATGAACAATCATGTCTGTGTCCGCCCGGATCTTGGAGGGTGGTCTCAGGGTTCTGTTGTGTTACAGCGTCTTGAATCTTGATTTTAGACAAAGCAAGGGAACAGCCCCCACCGACTCACTGCTGGAGCGCCAGTGGCTGAGGCATGTAAGAGACGCGCTCTTTGAACCATTGGACTCGCTCCACACTGCCTTAGTTCTGTTGCCATGCCACGGCACATCTCTCAGAAAAGTACTGTGAATTATTGGTTTCTAGTGGTCTACTGCATACCCCAAAAAGACAGCTGGCATCCCAAACTCTGCGGCAGAGCTTCCTTCAGCAAGCGCGCTAGGCGGGCCAGTGTCAAACTGCATCAGCTCAGTGCGTAAGTCTGCGAGAGCGGGATCCTGCATTTTGATGCGGCATGTCCGCGCTTCTAATGTGGGCAGGCAGGTGATGCCAGGTGACTCCTGGCTATCCTGTTCCAAGCCGTTCCGCGTAGTCCAGAGCAGCGTGGCCAAAGACTCCGATGGCAACTTCTTGATGCTCTTACGACTTTTCTACGACTCTTACGCCTCTTACAATGCCCGTGATAAACCATGGCCTCTGTCCGGCTCTTGGGTTCTTTGTCCTTCTCGTTTGCTGCATCCTTGACTCACGACCCCAGAGGTCACCGACAGCTGGAAGACTGGTTCATACCTGATTCAACACCTGCCCTGGCAATTGTCCTGCTGTTTCTGGCTGGCATTCGAGCTTAACTCCTTTGCCTGTTGCGAAGCCATGGTGTATCTCCGCTCCACCTCATCAAGTTCCGCAGCAACCGAGCGTGTCCAACTTACATCTCAGAACCACTTCTGCTTCTGGACAATTCTATGGATGTAAGTCCCCTTGCCTCAAAGTCTCTGAGTTCTCGACCGCAGCTTCAAGGGAAAACCCTGCCTTCGCTGCCATCGCCGCATAAGCCTGCAATAAGCTTGCAACATGAGCTGTGAGCAGGGCTCCGTTCGCTGACCGGTCTGCCTTCCGAAACGCGCCATGAGTCGGCTCACTGAACGGTCCTGGCCACAACTCCTGGAGCAAAGCTCAGTGCTTCTGCATCTTGCAGGTCCAAGGTGGACACGCATATCGCAAACGTGTCAGAATGAACCTGCATGCAACACTCGCCAATAAAATTCGGTGACCACTCTGGTGCTTTATCTAAACACAGCTTTTCCGTCCTTCTTTGCGCTCTTTGCCGCCTGTTCGCATCCTCGCAGCAGCACGATCATGCACGAAAGGTTGTCCTCCAGGCACGCACTGGATGATCAATGTTGCTTGGCTTGCAGCCAAATTCAAAGCGCCCCAGTGCCACAAATCTCTCTCAACATGACCCGATGCAGAAGCCAGCGAGTGAATTGCAAAGGTCCATGGAGCCAGACTCGAGTGCTTTGCGGCACACAGCCGCAGCTGCCTGTTCAAGGCACAAATGGTAAAAACAAAGGACTTGCGCATGCATGCGCTCACCGAGCAATGCTTGTTTTTGCCTTTGAATCCTCAGTCCTACATCGGCCCGCCTGCTCCGGGTCTTTGGACTGTAGCTCTTGTGCTGCCAACCGCACCTCAGTACTTCAAAGGTCTTTCCTGCACAAAGCGTCCAGATTGCCTTAGCTTTCAACGACATCTCTGTTTGGAAAGCTGCCCTCGGATATTCCATCCTCGCAGAGGGCCGGATTGATAGAGCGCAGATTCAGGCAACATCACCCAAATTCCCACAACATCCCATTGCACAGCAGGAAGTTCGCTGAGGAGTGCTCGCAAACCAGAAGGAGAAAGTCAGAAGGGTCGCAAGTTATGGTTGTGAACTCCGGCTCAGCCTCAGAACGATTTACAATCAGCCTATCGACTTGAAGATCAGCCGCAGCCTTCAGTAGGCGAACGCCGGGGTCAGCACTGAAACAGGATGGTCTTCCTGCAACTCACCAAGGCTTTTTTCAATTCTTCACCCCCAAACCAGCACATCTTGTCCTGTGCCGGGCCACCAGTCTGCTTGTGTTGCGCATCGCCAAAGGCTCGGCTCACAGCCAAATCACCATTCACTCGTGCGACGCCCATGATGGTCTGCACCTGGCGCCAGGATACGCATACTGGGTTGCGCAGGACAGCACGCACGCAGAGTGTGGCGGTGTGCGGAACTTGGCTCATGACGGTTCCGCCGGTGCGCGCTATCCTTTCCTCTTCCACCTGGGTTCGGCCAGGTGCACGGCAACTCAATTTTTTGCACCGTTCAGTCCCTGACCTTATTGTCGGGCTTATGATCCGTGGTTAGCGCACCGTCAGTGCCAGGACCTGAGCCACAGCAAGTTCTTGCTGGCAAACGTCCGCGGCAGCTGTCGCTCCACTTCCACAACGAGTAGGATAAGAAGCACACCTTCTACCATGGAGCCATCTGCCCTCCCCAGCAAGACTCGACTGTCTCCAATATTGCCAACCTCAGTCGCGAGACCGTCGCGAGAATGTGGCAGCAAAGACTGATGGAAGCAGGAGTGGCGGGCGTGTTGCAACGCAGGCGCCGAGGGCGTGCTCTCAAAAGTCGTCAAGTGGTCGAGCTGCTGAAGGCTGCACTACTGGTTGAACAATTATTTGTGGGAATGTTCGACTTTATGGGAGTGCTCGCTGGGACTCCTCATCAGGGTGGGGAGCCCTATAGAAAATTGGACAAAGTTCTGAACTCGTAAGCGCAAACTGCACATACTAGGTTGTCGTTTTGCTGCGTCGCATGACCTGGAGGGCTCGGGCACAGGACATCTCCCTGACCTTCAGACACCTTTGGTCTGTCCGTATGGAGTTTTCTGCGCTGCAGTGTCCGACAGGAACGAACGAACCACAGGCCAACTCAGTCTGCTTCAGTCCCATCAAGCAGATCCCAGACTTGCTTGCGGATGAAGTCAGCATCGCCCTGATGGGGTTGCTTGTGATGCTTTTGTCAACAAAACTCAGGACACGTGCCTGCTGCCCAGGGCGATGGGGGTCGCCAGCCCGATGTCCCCAAAGAGACTTGATCGGCACAAAGCGGCAATTGGGTATCAGCTTCCCCTCTTGCTCCTCAGGCTCGACTCAATTCTTCATCAGCCTCACAAGCACTCGCGAATTGATTGCAGCCGAGATACAATATCTGCTGCATTGAAGTAGCTGTCCGTACTGCATGGCATAAGCACAACCCTGCGCCACAAGGTTCAGGTTCAACACGCGTGATACTGGCAATGTCACTGGAATATCGGCTAGACTGCTGTACAAACTGTAGTTGTACTGGAACAGCGTCAGAGGACTTGGCCTTGCCGTGATACGGCCCAAAACTTCTTTCAAAGAGGACCGGCTTGGCATGCCATGCGCTTCGCAGATGTCTCCACGCCTGGAAGGGAGGCGTCTGACTCATGTGTCATGTCATACACCCCCACACGTGGCTCACATGTACACGGTTTTGCCAAAGCTCTTCGAAATGATTCATAACTCGACAACCATGACCAAAACAAATGGTTTCTGTCACCATACGTCGCAAAATCTAAACCTGCATGAGCCTGCTGCATGCTTGCTCGGCCCGATTTTAAGCATCTGATCTAGCTGCAGAAAGACTGGCGCAGGCCTCCATGTATGGATTTGTGCCAAGAGGTTCAGTGGACTCGCATTTGCAAAACCTCCGTCGTATGAGCGAGAAACGAAATCTTCTCTGCTGCAGAAGGGCTTCCCATCCCTTGATGTCGTGCGCCAGATTTCCTGCTTGTAGAACTCCCGCGAGACTCCCCAGCCAGCATAAATGCGTGCAAAAGCTTTAAGGCCACGTCGACATGAACCATGCAATCTCATGCCCAGGGGCTCATCTACCTTGCAACTAGAGTCTGCCAGCAGGGCTGCTTCTAAACTATCAAGGAATGTGATGTTGAAGTCGCTTGGCTGAGCAGACCCACAAACTGCCGCAACTCTCTTGACTCGACTCGGGAACATGGCGGCCCAGTGTAAGGCCTGCATTGCTCCCATCGAGTAGCCGTAGACTAAAGTAAGGTTGGTCACCCCAAGCGACTCCAACAGCAGTGCCTGCAGACGCACGTTGTCACAAACTGTCGTTCCTTCTTGCGGAAAGTTCTCGTGAGCACGGCCCAAGCGGGAGCAAGGTGAGGTAGAAAGGCCATTCCCCAGAAGGTTGACGATGATAACACAGTACTTGCTTGTGTCTAGCGTCTTCCCCGGCCCAATGTTGAATTCCAACTCTGGGTGGGTGGCATCGAAAGAAGTAGGATGCAAGATGCAGTTGGATTTGTCTGCATTCAACACTCCGTACATCTTGTACACAAGGCGCAGCCCGGATGCATCAACGCCTGTCCGAAGGCGAAAGGATACAGGGGCCTCAAAAATTCTCGCGCCATCTGGCAGAGCATGTTCAGGTCCTGGTGACCGAAAGGATCTGAAGGTCAGTCCCAGAAGTTTTTCTGCTTTCCTGTTGTTGATGATCGAAGCAAAGCCAAATAGATTTGACTCGCCAGGCAGCGAGCAGCCCGTGTGCTTGAAATGGTGCCCGAACAAGTCCACCTGAGCACGAATGTTTCCGCTACATCGCTGACTTGGGAATGCAGCAGAAATGTCTTCCTCATGTGTAAAAAGCGAGACACTGTTGGCACATCGTAGCGGGTGTCAGGAGCCACGATGAGGAAGGTCTCGCACCTCTCTCTCTCTCGCCATGTCTCTCCCTCTCCCTCCATTCAACATGTAAGAGCACTGAGGTGCGATCGAGTTGGGCAAGAACTTGATGGCCATTCAGCCCTCAGGCCCTAGACTCTTTACAGCTGAGATGCTTGGACGGCAGTTGGCCCGAAGGCAGAAGCAGAGCTTTGACGTGCGCTTCTACCACATCATGCTCGTGACAGTACGCCCACATCAAAGGGGTCACTGCACGCTGTGGTAACTTCATGGGCAAGTCACCCCACTTCTCTGCCTTAATGATGTTGGAGAACCGCAAGGATATGAACGAAAGCTCCCCACGACGCCTCTGCCTTTTGCTCGGCCGGCCATCTTCCAAACCCTTGCCTGTAGGCTCCACTCCCGGAGCCCGGACAAGCATTGCAGCCAAGTCTTCGCAAAAGCACTTGCTCAGACCGTAGTGTTCTAAGGGCTCTGGCACATGCTCTTCGTCCAATGGCAAATGGTCAGGCATGAATGCGGAAGGCTCATGAGACCAACCCATGGCAAACAAGGAAGACGAGAACACCACCCGTCTGCTCGCAGGTTGAGAGGCAATAGCCTCAAAGAGCGTGCTAGTTCCAAGCAAATTTTGTCTCATCAGTTCAATGCCAGGCTCATCCTCAAGCCCAATGGGGGCATCTTCTATTGGATTGACTCGAGGCGGTGGGTGCTTGGAAGGGCCTGGGATGGCACCGACATGAACGATCGAAGTTACCTTTGAAGCGAGTTGTTGCATGGCAGCTGCATCACATAAGTCAGCTTGGACAAAGGTGACCTCGCCTGCTCTGGCCCCCCACAACTTGAGCTTGTCTGAAGGGCTTACGCGGTCTGTTGCCACAACAGTCAGGCCGGCAGCCACAAGACGCGAGACAATCTGACTTCCCAATCGGCCAGAAGCCCCAGTGACTAGAACGGCCTCGCTTGCCATGGCGGCATACAGCTCGAACCACTTCTTGAGCACTGCAGGTCGAAGATGGTCGAAGTCAGCCACTTCTGTGAAACTTGTGCGAAGCAATTCGCAGCATAATCTCTTGAAGCTACGCAGCTACTAACTACTATTGTCGCCCGAGTTCCCCAACACCTTCGGCAAACAGTGGCACCCGAACACAGTTGCACAAATCAAGCAAAAGACTCAAAGGTCGCCCTTCAGGAGCCCGGCTCTAAGCGTAATGTGCTCGGCAGATGGTACCACAAATGCAAAGGTCCCGGTTGACCCGCTGGGCTGTCAGGTCGTGTGAGGTTGCAGGTCAAACTTGCATTACAATGCAAGTCGCGAATGGCAAGATGTGACTTGACGCACTGCCCACTCAAGACCGTTCGGCCTGTTTCGCATCCAAGAACTCTTGGTCTATTCCTCAGCGGCGCAGCATTCGGATTCTTTGTGTATGCTTTGTGTCGCTGTCGGGCCAAGGGCTTCCAGTGGCTCCTCTCTGAAGAATGAGGAAGAGGGTGAAGAAGAAGAAGAAGAAGAAGATGATGATGATGATGATGATGCTGCTAGGTGCTGCTGCTGCTGCTAGGTGCTGCTGGCGGTGGCGATGTCGATGATGCTCTGATGATGCTCATGATCACTTCTTGTTAAACGCAGAGTCCGAGCAGTCAAGCATCGAACAAATGTCCAAGAACGAGGGGTTTACTGTGTCTTCCTTGATTCATGATGTTCGTCCTTTGAAGGGCACTCGTACCCACCCACCCACCCACCCACCCGCCCCGCCCGCCCGCCCGCCCGCCCGCCCGCCGCCACCCAACAACTCATCCACCGAGAAAACGCGGGAAGTCGAGTCAAGAAACGTCGCGAGTTACCACTCTGACGACAAGAAACTCAGATGCAGCTGGCAGGTACAGCAAGGCTCAGTAAGGGCCGTTCGCAGCATCAGCGACTTGACCGCTGCATCATCGGCAGGCAAGGATTGCGATCTGAGCTCCTGCTAGATCGGCGGAGCATGTGGGCATTGTCCAAACGGAGATAAACGCAGCAACAGGGAGTCCTCCGTAAGCCGCTTCGCTACAAATGAAGAGCACTGCTGCCCGCCGTGGCCATCGAAAACACCAAAGAAGCCTGATGCAATCAGGCTCATCACCATCTCAGGCCGTCCAGTTGCACTACCTGTCTTTGAGGAAGCCAAGCCACCCCATGTGTCCTGCCTCGCATCAGAACATGTCAGAATGCAGACAAGTTTGACACGAGTGAAGAGGTATTTCAGCCAAGGCACATCACAGACACGTGTGCATCCTGCAGTGCTGCATTTGTCTAACCCGAGGAGTTCCGTAGTTTCATCTATCAGCCCGCAGCTGTGCAGGAAATTAACTGCGCACATGTCCTCCATTGTGGGCCTCCACCCGTTCATCTCAGCAACGCCCACCTGGAATAGAGGCCCGGCCTGAGGCCCAGCATGGTGCTCGACTTGAACAAGTTGCGGTGTGAGCTCCAGTGCTGCGCCAAGGCATCAGCATCTTTCTCCAACACTATGGAGGTCACCGCCTTGGGGAGGCCTTGTCCCATGACGAGGACCCAAAGCAACCTCGGCCACTCTGAACTTCTGTGGCCACCGAACTAGACGTGCACATCATCCGAAGCTGCGGGCACCAAAGCCTGAGTTCATCGCGGTTCGGATGCAGATGCGAAGGCTTGTTCAATAACCCTTGGTTTCCACTGTACATGTTTCGAGCCGTGTGCTTTCTCGGCGGCACATATTCTTTCGAAAGACTACCCACGAAAGCATACCGACCCACGATACCGTAACAAAACCTCGACTATTTCACTGTTCTCCATATCCTTGAGATAGTTCACCAAAAAGAACCCTTACAAACCCTCGAGACCCAACTTTACAAGTCACCTCTCCAGCTCCTGTTAATGCTCAACCTGGGGCTGAGTCTGAATGTCTGGAGTTGTTAGTCACAGAAACCAATAATAATTGTAACTTAGTGAGCAAGGATGAGCAAAGGAACACGCCATCGCAAGTGGGATGAATGTGCGAAACGGCCTTGCGCCATTACGCCGGTGCAACGCGCCGGGTGGAGATCCCTAAACCCTAAACCCTAAACCCTAAACCCTAAACCCTAAACCCTAAACCCTAAACCCTAACCCTAGAGCAACTGTTTACAGAGCAACAGAGCCGATGTGAGACACCTCGCTTTTCACGCCCGTAGCCCCAGGCCTGGGGTCCCTTACGCACCTGGTCTTCCGCACGCCCCTTGCTGCGTAAAGCAGCCGCACGCGGAAGTAAAATGCTGCACTAGCATGTCACGAGCAATCAGCGCACTGCTGAGCAGGCACACCACATCCACGAATGTATTTACACAATCCTGTTTGGCTAGGCCAGCTTACTGCACGTGACGGTCGTCAAAGGATTAGCATTTAGGCATGATGGGTCATCGATGCTCTTCGATGCCCTCCGAGGCTCTTCGATGCTCTTCGATCCCTGGCAGACGCGATTGCACGGAGCACCTTGGAAGACTATACAAGCGGGTAGGTTAACTCACATCTTCGCGTGTGAAGTCACATCTCCCCAGTGAGGCTGCGAGCGAAGTCACATCACCCCGCGTAAAGTCGCATCACAGAGACATATGTTGAAGCCTTTCCCCCAATGTGCACGCGCCGCACGCACATGCCCTCGACACACATGCAAAATACGCACTTGTCACCGCACGCCTGGGAGGGGAGCACATTTTTGTCAGCGTGAATGGGGTTTCTGCTTGGGGGTTGCAAGTGGGTTCTCCAATCTTGGACTCGTGAATCCCCACTGTGCACGCGCCCGAGATACGACTTTGCACCAGAAGATGCGACTTAACCTACCCGCTTGTACCGGTCGGCTGGGTAGCCACACTTAGATCTGCCACACGACAGAACAAATCAACGGGCACGGCCTTTGCTTTCCCGCCATGTTTCATGCGAGTTTTGTAAGGTAGCGCACAAGAATTCAAGTGAGAACCAGGAGCCAAGGTGCTATTTATTTTCATGACATGACCACATGCACAAGGAAATATGTGCAAAGATGACTAGATTAGAAGATTCCTTGATGTCACACGCCTTTTGGAGCTTTTCATCCTCATGGTCTTACTAGGTAGCATTTCCCTCGCTCTTCTTTCTTTTAATTCAATCCATTAAGAAAGCTCACTCTGGCTCGTACGTGGTGAGGTAAACGTGTGATTCACTAAGTTTTGCGATTGCCTGTCAAAGTTTGTGGCTTCTGCTGTCTTATTGTCAGCACCATATCGTCGCGCGAGTTTCCCTGCGAAAACACACACGCACACACTTCGCACGCATTGGTTGATATGCCTTCTGAGTGTGAAAGCACAAAGCCCTTTTCCGAGTTTTTGCGTCTGGCAGGAGTTCGGCTGGAAATTAGCGCCCGCAGCTCAGCTTGGACTGCTCCAGCGAGCCGCATCGAAACACTTGGCCTCCTTGGTACAGATATCCACATCGAGTAAGAGCCACAGAGCCATCTTCTGCCGTAGATTTCTCGTACATGTCATTGCCTCGGCTGAAAAATTTAAAGAAAGGCGTGACTCACACAAGCTTACGTGGCTTGCACAAGCGCCTGCACAAAAGGTCCAAAGCTGGGCCTCGCACAGTCCTGATTGATGGGAACCCGTTCACAACCCTGCTTGGCTTCGCCGAACTGGCGTGGCCACGCCTGGCAGTCGGCCGGCTCGCAGCAAACCTCATCCGTCTCACCAGGGGCGTCGTCCATGTTCAGCTTTTTGACCAAAGAGCCATTCTGGCCAGCACGGTTTTTGCTTGCGGCACATAAAATGCATGAGCCCAACGTGGGAGCAAGCACAGCTCGAAATATGTGATGCCTGTCTATGCCTGAATGCCACACTAATAATTAAGCCACAACCCTGTGAGGTCCTCAGGCCAAGGGGCACCACCACATGAATGCATCCTGCATGACTTCTGGCAGCACTGTTCGTCGGTGTCGCCGGCAGTGTTTGAGCTAGCTGCGTTTGCTACCCAGCCTCTGCAAGCAAGTCCACAAGAAAGCAGGGGCATGAAGTCAACTTTTGTGCATGAGGACCTCTCGGATGTGCTATCACTCCTAGAAATAGGCATTGACCCCACAATGGGCGGGGAAGGATGAGGGAGTCTTGGTCGTGTTTCAGGTACCCACCACCCCGTGCACACCTGTTTTTCACGTGCTGGCATCCCGGGCAGCCCAGCATCAACTCCAGGCAAGATGTGGATTTGTGCGCGCCTCTATCGCTCTTTTTCTTTCATGGGGTTTCAAGGGGTCGCCTACCCATCCCCCCCGGCGCAAGCTGAGCGCCGCAACTTGTCTTCTTCTCCTCCTCCTCCTCCTCCTCCTCCTCCTCCTCCTCCTCCTCCTCCTCCTCCCTTGTCCTTCTCCTTGTCCTTCTCCTTGTCCTTCTTCTTCTTCTTCTGCTTCTTCTTTTTCTTCTGCTTCTTCGTCTTCTTCTTCTTATTCGTCTTCTTCTTCTTCTTCTTCTTCTTCTTCTTCTTCTTCTTCTTCTTCTTCTTCTTCTTCTTCTTCTTCTTCTTCTTCTTCTTCTTCTTCTTCTTCTTCTTCTTCTTCTTCTTCTTCTTCTTCTTCTTCTGCGCGCTTTGAGCCCCCCCCCTGGCAAAGGAGCCTGAGGAGCCTGGGCCCCACCGCCAAGCAGGTTCTCGTCAGTGCAACCCCGCTCTCTCTCTCTCTCTCTCTCTCTCTCTCTCTGTCGCCTGTAATCTGAGCTTTCAGAGTTCAGGGACACTAGAAAACAGCATATCTGCGGTTCTGCCAACTTTTTTTGCTGCACTGTGAGCCATTCCTACATGCCTGTTTAGCCTTCGAACTCCATGCCTGCTAGCCTAGCTTTACTCGTGGACTTGGATGAGTTGCACGACCTTGGGGCATGGGTCCGGCCTTCACTGCAGTGGTGCTGACTGCATGAGGGAATACAGCAGCTCGAAACGTTGCTGCCCACCTTATCCAAAGCCGCAGGGTCCTGCCAGGCGACATTTGGGGCAAGATTTGCACCATTAGGTGCAGGTCCGGCGCTAGTTACATTGTTGCGCAGCGGCAAAGTCCCTTGTCGCATGCACTATCATGCCTTGCGCCGCGAAATAGACACGTGCAAGCATTCGAACTTTGCATGCCGTCGAAAGCACCCTGGAGCATGAATAGCTTCAGTTTCTCGCAGGCCAACAAAGATGCACAAGATCCGAGGGCAGCAAAGGGGTTACTCTCCTCCTCTTTCCTGACGGTTGCGTTTGATCGGTTACGAGGATGTGTTAGGGCGGTCATTACGGGTCCCAAACATGCTCCAGCGCGAATAACAAGCATACCTTCCTGGCCCCCGGGTATCCAATAGACTGAGCATGACTGAGCTGTGCTACGGCGGATTTGGACGACCCATTCCCCCTCGCCAAACAAGGGGCATCCCAAGCCATGCGCCTCACTGTGAGAACTTGTAATGCTTGTGGGCTCAGTGGTGTCGAACAACAATGAGCCTTTTCTCGACAGCCGAAGGACGGCTCCATGCTACAATGCAGTCTCTACATGTGAGCTGCTTTCAAAATTCTTTCATCCCGAAAGGACCGTCTTCGCGAAAAAATTTAAAGTTCGCAAAACTTTCGCGGACCCATCACGGTGCAGGTTTATGCTATTAGCCCAGATCAAGGTCTTAGATCCCTAAGCTTCAACAAGCCAAATTTGAGCGTTAAGGGTTGATGTTTGAGGTTTAGGGTCCAGGGTTCTAAACTTAGGGTTCAAGTCCAGAACCATACAAGGCCTTCTAATCCCTTTGGTAATGGATTGGTTTCACTGTTTCACTATTTCAGAGATATGAATCCCAATAACAGCCAACACGCACCTCAGCGAGCGCTGCCCTTGAAATGGCTACCTCGAGTTACGCGGGGCTACGAGGAACTTACGCGGAACTTTCGCCAAGTATCCAGCCCTTGGCTCTACGAGTATTTCGGAGCCATCCGGGCAGTCTAGCTGGAAACTGAAAGCCTGGAAGCTGCTGGCAACATAGCACAAGACCTGGGTTTCGTAAGAACTTTCGCGAAAAAACTACTTTCGCAATCCCAACGCAGATCTTTCGCGGAGGCATATCTTAATGCCGTGTGGGTCACTGCCTACTAAATGCCACACGGGGACCTTTAGAGATCAACGCTCGTGTCTTTCCCGCAGTCCTGCAGCCATCCCAATCCAGAATCGCACTGGAAAGCCCGGCAAGTCTTCGTGCAACACAAGTCATCGCTGCTGCCCTCCTGGAAGCACACATGAAATTTGGGCTTTTTGATGCTTGTTGCACAGCTTCAAATGCTGCAAGGCCCATCCCTCCACATGCTGTCAATCATGCTGTCAGCGTGCTCCTTGTCGGAATTGTCTGGGTTTGTAATCCACCCAGAACTGCAGGAATATCTGCTGCACATTGACAGGCAGCAAGTCGCATCACTGTCCGCTGGCAGTGCCGCAGCTTGCTCATTCGTCTTCCATCCCATAGATTCACGGCATTCATGCAAACTGCATGACTTCGTGCAACAAAGTTCGTCCGTTTGCCCGGGCTTGTCACGGACAAGCTTGTTTGGCACCCAATTCTTGCTGCAGGTGTGACTGTTGCAAGCTGGCTCACAGCATGTTTGGGCATCATTCCCAACCAGGTGGCTCTTAGAAGCTGATGTTGCCCAGCCATCGGAAGCATCGCACCGGTAAACAGCACAGGTCGCAATGCAGCACTCCTCCTTCGATTGACCTATTTGGTCTCTTGCGGTGTCGTTGCGGTTCCAACCGCCGTCACCTCAAGTCAACCCATGCATTGCCCCAGGTCAGTAATGTGCCATCAATGCGCACACGCCCATGCCATTGTCATTCTGGAAAAGAACTGCATTCACGGACGTGCCAACAGATGAACCTGCGATTACATACCTGCTTCACTCTGATATGTAACATGTTGAAGAAGCATCAAGGGAATCAAGGGAATAGAGGCACGACATTTTTGGCGAACAGCGTAGGTACGATTGCACGGAGTGTGGGGGGGGGGGGGGGGCAGGGCAAACGCAAACACAAACGCAAGCGCAAACGTGAACAAGCACACGCGCACACGCACACGCACACGCGCACACGCGCACTCGCTCACTAACTAACTCTTCATTTCTTTCTGACTCACTCACTCTCTCTGCCTTCTTCTTTTGTTTCAAGGCTTGGGGAAGCCCTCTCAAGCGCAAACAACTCTTATGCAACAACGCCCTCATGGATAAGCCAAAAGGCAGCTGAATGCCGAGCAGTATCTCTGCTCACAGCATTTCTCGTCGCTGGGCAACTCTAGGTGTAGCTTGCTCGCAGGTACAGCATATCCAGCCGGGCAGGTCCATGAAGAACACGTCTTGGCAAAGCGCGTTGTGATAATAATGCCATGGGCATGCGTTTTAAGGGTGCAGCTGCACTAAAAAAGCGACCCCATGTGCCACGGGGAGATCAGGGAGCACAGCGAGGGCTTTGGAAAGCAGGCCTTCTTGCAGCACTCCGCCTTGCTACTTCCGATTCGGCCAGAAGCTGCCAGGTCGGGTTCCCATCCAACTTGCAGCGGGGCAGCCAAGAAAGTACAGCATGGAAAGGCCAGTGCAGAAATATACAGAAGGCTAACATAAGCTATAACATAGGCTATATAACCCAAGCTGTGGCCAAGGAACGTGCTTCGCAGTTGAACAAAGCGCAATGTGGAGTGCAACAGGTCTTCAGGTCGTTTCCAACCCTGGCAGCAATCTAGTCAGCATCAGCCTTTCACAGCCTCTCGAAATTGGTCAACCATAACTCTGTCCTTGCAGGTCCCGGCTTTTGGCTCCAGTTGCCAGGGCAGCTGAAGAGCTCACAAGTCACTTCCTGATATGCCACATGCAGGCTAAGTATCGATTCCGTTCGGGTGCCCATTCAGTTGCAACTTCCGCACGATCACAGCGCGGACAAGCAGCACAGCATGCATCTTGCGATATAGCGTGCACCGAGGCCCCCCTGTTCTTGTAGCCCTGGTTGCATGGCACGTGCGCGCAGGTCTCGTCGCAGCACATGTCGTTGCTCTGGTAGACCTGCATGGGCGTGCCATGGACCGAACGCAAGCTCATGGCATGTTCTCGCCAGCCAGAAGAGATACATAAACTTTCGCCGGGCTGCGTTCGTTGCATATGCAGCGTTGGCCGCATATCCATTAGTGCATGTCCACAGAGCGCATGTCCTCATCATGTTGAGGTGCAGCAGACAATTGGTGGCACATGCCTGAACTCACAGACTCGAAACACTAAGCACCTGGCTTGTCACAGCACGCCGCATCAGTGTTTCCGCGTCTTTTGTGGTGATCGGGCTTCGGGGCCCAGCCTTGACCTGCTCCAAATCATGGAACCATGGTTTCTGCAAAATTTAGCGGGTCCATTCACGCGAATCCTAGCAGTCTAGCAGCCTACCGTGCTGCCAAGATTTGCCAAGTTCCCGGCCGCAGACATGACGCTGGCAAGAAGGGTTATCCTCGCACCGCGATACAACAAATCTTCGACTTGAAACAGTATCTTGCAGGTTCATGCTTGCCATCTCTCTCTCTGTCGTCGTTCTGGTAGGCTTGGTAAGGCTCGCTGCCAACATGTCTTTGTGTTGATCACACTGGCCCGACTATGCGTGAGCATGTTTCGGCCATCTCTTACACCTAACGAAGTCAGAAGCTGCAAACACGGCAAGCATTGGCTTCAGCTTGCTCGTCAAGGCACTCCCAAAGATCCACCTCATGTGCACCGCTTGGTTCATGTTGGCACACCATCCCTGACTTAATCAAGGATGCATTCATCCTTTTCCAGTCGAGGCACTGAAGTTGTCACGGGCTTCGTGGCGAACTTTCCACGCAGCTGTCGCGCTCAGAGCCTGCAGCGGTAACATGCGCAACATCAGCAGCAAATTTTGGGGTTCTTGCCAATAGGTCAATTAAAACAGACATCTGTGACAGAGAACCGCTGCGAAGCCATGCTGCTTGCAGTTAGAGCTGCTGTGCAAAGGAATAGCCACCTTGAAGCCCATATCGCAACCAGCTTCCTCACGTGGCAACTCTAAAATAGGAAATCTGATCGGGAAATTGTCACGCTGCTTCGAAGCGAGGCTCATTCAGACTCACGAGCTTAAGTTAGCTCTGCAGTGGCAGGGGCCATTGGTTTGAGCCAGCCCCGGCTGTGAATAACAAGTGACTGACATGACTAATGCGGCACAATACAGCTTCGCCGTGTTCAGTCACATGGCTATATGTGGCATCGTGTGGCATCAAACTGCTTCCGCTCAACTTGGGTTTCGACTCACAGGCCCTTTAGCAGGGCAAGAACTCACATCATTCTTGATCAACCTCTGCGCGGCAGATAGTGGCCCTCTTACAAAAAGAGGGCTCTGGCTTTCAGGGGTCCACGATCCTCTTTCATTTCATGCGTGGGTCCACCATTTACGGCGATTTTTCTGCCGTACATTCTCTCGGCCACTCACCTATTCTGCGATGCTGCGTCTTGCAACATGAACGTGGCAGATGCGTCCCGTACCTTCGGAACAAGCGCTCTTGGTGGCAACTAAGGGATCAGAGTGAAACTGCGCGATGCGCGATCATCACGCGCACGATGCAGGCACCTAGCCATCAACCAACATCCGTCTACTCATCCTGCTGGATCATGTTGGGCAAGCTGGTCCCAACAAGAGCATAGCACAAATCTTTGTCATCTTGAGCAGATTCGCACACTGAAATCTCTTGCACCGACAGGCTGTCCTCCAAGTTCACCATCCCACGCTTAATCTCTGCGACAGTGGCAGCTGCGATCTGACGTCGGATGGATGGGGCGGACAGATCAAGTATGGTTGAATCCTTCACGGAAAGGTGGCCATCATGTGGAGCAGCATCAAAAAGCGTGTCCCTCAGTATGTCCAACCGATTCTGCATTGCCAAAAGCTTGTCACAATGCATCGGCTGTCCTGCACGTTGGCCTCGTGGTGGCTTGGACCCTGGCTCAAGTACTTTCCGTTGAACAAGCACACCTTGCTCATATACGTGGTGTTCCTTTTGGCTTCTAGATCCGAAGTACATGCCGGCCCCATGTCGTTTCCCTGCAGCCCAACCACCATGGTACTCGGAGCCGTCGTTGTGGTAGTACACGCCTGGCCCGCTACACTGGCCCTTCCACCACACGCCTTCGAACTCTTCACCGTTCGCATAAACCTGTTTGCCAAAACCATGTCTTAGGCCGTCAGCCCATTTTCCATCATACTTGCTGGTCTCTGATTGGAAAATGCCCTGACCATGTTTGGATCCAAGCTCCCACTGGCCGTCGTAAGAAGACTGGTCTCCCCAAATTTGTAAGCCGTGCTTGTGCTTCCTATCGTTTAAGAACTGGCCATGGTATGTGTTGCCTGAGTTGTTTTCCACGAGCACGCCGCAACCATTCCGAGTCTTGAGCTTGAAAGTTCCTTCATAGAACCCCGACTCGTCTTCAAATTCTTCGTGTGAGAAGCCAAACTCCTTTCGTCCGAGATCGGATGCGAGTTCTCGCTTCTTCTGCCTACTCACTCCAGCTACAAACGTTTGAGCTGCGGTGAAGGCGCTTCCAGAAAACACGGTCCGCCGCGTGTCATCCATGTTTGGAACAGTACAGAGAGAGCTAGAACGGTATTATGCAAGCAACGATCAACTTGTTAAAGGATGACGGACTTGCTCTGCACGACGTATTCCGGCATCAGAAAGCAATGGAACAAAGACGTAGCTGCCGCTTGAGCCGAAAATAATCACGTCACCGGTGCAAGCGCATGATGCCAACGACTCAGCAAAGCCACTGTGCAAACAAGACGTCCTGCAGAGCCAATGGATGGAGCCTAGCAACAATTACATGCTCTGTTTTGGCCAGGGTTGGGCGCAACACGCTGTCGCAGCCTGAGTGTCAACCAGCTACCTCACCAAACAACATCTGCTCCACTTCACGGTCGCTGACATCTGGAAAGCTTTCTAACATCTCCAGGTCCTCATCCGACCAAGGTGATATGAGGCGGAGCTCTGCATCGCAGTACTGGAGGTATAAGACTCGGCCACAGCAACCTGGACAATCTGCTACTTCTTTGACCCGCTTGAGCAAACCCACTAGCCTGCCCATCAAGGCTTCTGTCTCCTCCGCCAGGCCTGGCCTGTCAAGCTTGAGATCGTCTTGAGTCAGCTCCTGCAGCTCCACGATGGTGCCCTTGTCAACAACCCCCCGCGCCAGCATGCCAATGTTGCCGAGCTGCATCTCTGCAAACTTGGAGCTCAACGTGTGGCCCCAAACCTCACCAGCATCACGCTCGTTGGCGGTGGAACATTCGACACCCATGCCAGGGTTCGGCATGGCCTCATCATCCATTCGCGGCATGGTGCATGCGATGGGCACGCGGACCAGGAGTCTGAGATCTCCGGCTTGATACTCTACAACTCTGTAGTGCACGGGGTCGTCCAGTTCACGCACAAAAAACGGACCCGTAACGGTTTCCTTTCCTGACACCACCTGCTCAAAATTTACATCATAAGAGCGTTTGTTGAAATTTGCGGTGCCTGCAGTTGCATTCTCAGGCACCCAATTCCACACTGTTCCAATGAAAATTGAAGCTGGCGCATCAGGCAACCGCCCTACTCGACAAAGGTCTATGCGTTCAGCTTGGCTCCCACGTCGGTTGTTCAATCCTTTGGCGCGCATGTCTTCTGTAAGTGTCCCATCCACGAATGCTAGGAGTGTTCGCAAGGCAGGGAAGCTGATCACCACATCGGCGTTCTCAAGCTCAAAGCCGTCCTTGGCAAATTGCCCAAGCTCATCGCGCATGTCCGCCGTGAAGGAGCGCTCAATGCCTTGATCGACTTGGGGCGGATCCTTCAGCCCCTTTGCAAGTTGTAATCCAGGCGGTGGTGGCCGATAGTCCGGAGCATCAAACTCTTCTGGAGGACTATCTGGGCGTATGGTGTATTTTGCCACTTCTTGAAGGTTAATAACCTTGGCAGGTGGATCTGCCAGGAGCTCCTCTGCATTGAACCATTCGAAAACATCAATATCATCATCAACGTCCAAGTCTTCTTGCCAATAGCCACTCTTCAACTTTTTCGGTCCAAACTTTTTGGATTGTGACTTCTTTTTGGTCTTCGCCTTAGCGGCTCGACTGATGCACAATGTCCGTGTCGATGCTACCCGTGCCCCAACCAATATGCAGCACGCACCCGTGATGTTATTGAGGCGTTGTTGGTTGAACAATCCTTTCGCATTTCGACAGCGTTCTGCAGTCCAATCACCTGAACCGCGCGCGGGCAAACTGCATTGCATGCGCGTGCCCCGCAGCTCAGCCAGTGCCATGGCTTGCAAACAGTTCTGGACGTGCCGGAGCCCACGAACTGCGCCGTCAAACTTGCGTGAGAATCCCAATAGCACATGCGGCCACCTGTAAGTGCATGTGCACGTGCACGTGTACGTGTACGTACACATGTGTGAGTGTGAGTGTGAGTGTGAGTGTGAGTGTGAGTGTGAGTGTGAGTGTGAGTGTGAGTGTGAGTGTGAGTGTGAGTGTGAGTGTGAGTGTGAGTGTGAGTGTGAGTGTGAGTGTGAGTGTGAGTGTGAGTGAGTGTGAATCGCCCCCCCCAACCCCCTTGCCGTTCCCTTTGCACTGACATGATAGCGGCGCTTCATGTGCAGTCGCACCTTTTGTCCACCTGTAAGGTCATCGTCGTCGTAGGGGTGGAGGGGGGCAAAGAATTTGTCCTTTGCGCAACGTAGCTTTTGTTGAGAGACCTGTCCCGACGCAAACTAGGGATGGGGGAACTCTTGATTGTATGATTGTTGTCGGCGCCGCACTTGGAATCTCAAGGATTTCAGTCAGGATTTGCTAATTTCCAGATGATTATTGGTTTGCCATGGCAGTTTTGACCGGGTTCGCTGCCTGTCCACCCAGATTCGGTCGGCAATCGCAGAAACACGGGAAGCCTTGGGGAGAGCTCCCCTATCTCGTGTGAGTGACCAGAAGCGACACTTGACGAATGCGTTAGTTCCTGGCAAGAACTTGTTGTTAGACGTCCTTGGGCAAAGCGTTAGGCTGGATGCAGATGAATGGTCTACTGCGCTCGGAGATTACTACGTAGAACCGTAGAATCAATAACAACAAAGATCTTTGGGACGAAGTGCTTCCATCGGCCTTGCCAGAAACATCCGGTCAGGTAAACTGGCGTGTCCCTCCGTTCTTGTGCCATGGCCTGGATGGCGCCAGCGGTTGTGCTTTTTTTCGCAGGAGGAGAATGGTTTTTTTTTTCCCCCGGGGCCCACATCAATCAGCAAGGAGCTCGCTGAGGGCTGGGGGTTCCCCATCGAAGCGGGCCGCTTCAAGGCTCCATCTCCCACCAACCTCAATTGCGATGACGGCCAGACGGCACCGGGAGGCGCGAGCGAACTCGGAATAGGTGCGGAGCTTCGCTTTGCGCGCGATGCGGAGTGCCGCCCCGACAGCGCTGCCACCTTCTCGGCGGGGGGCCCCAGCAGCCGTGAGGGGAGACACGAGGGTTGTGTCGACTGCGACTTGGGTGCCGCCCCAAATGGGAAGGCCATTTGCGATGACCTCAATCCGCCGTTCATCCTGGCGGGCTGCATCGAGGTTGAGATCACGCACGCGGACGTTGAGTGCGACAGTGGCCCCGGCCTCCCTGCAAACTCGAGCCGCCGCACGCTCCAGGGGGCCTCCCCGAGGCACGCAGGACTCCAGATGCCCCCGCCCTTCGCCAGCCGCATGCCGTGACTTGGCAGCCTGCACCCTGGCTTCGGCGCCACTGCACAGGGACCGCGCGGACAGGAAGAAGGCACTGCGGCACCGGCAGTCAAAGGGAGCGGGAGGCGAAGTCTGCGCAGCAGGAGAACCCGGAAGAGGGGGGACGCGAGGGTGGTTTCTGGAGATGTCGGCCGCGCCGTCAGGACGCGGGCGGCAAACGGCCCCGACTGCGAGTCCAGGAGGGCGACAGCCGCCCCATCAAGCTCGCGCTCCGCCGCCCGGCGTAGGAAGCCATCGACAGATTGCGACGCGGAGCGCTGCCAACCACGAGTGAGATCGAGATCGGGGTCCTCCTCCTCGACAACAGGCACAGCGGCATCCAGCAGAGATGCCCAGGCAGGGGGTCAAAGCCGAGAGCGAGGAGCGAAGCGTGGGCCTCCCGAAGGGACGAGAGGACTGGAGGCAGCGCAGCATCCGTCCGCAGGGAGTCGGTGAGGGCTTGCGCGAAGGAGCGGCTCCGAAGGGCTATGGCCTTGATGGAATCCGCCCAGGATGCCCAAAACGCCGCAGGCGCATGCCGAACCGCACTGCGGAGACCCAGCCCGCCATGACGCAATGCCAGCTGCGCACGCAGAGCCGCTGTGGGTGGCAGGCCGGCGGCTGCATCCGCGAAGAGAAGAGCATCAAGGCAGGAGAGGACTGCGGCGTCATGCACAGCGGCATAGGCGCGTGTGCTAAGTGGCGGAAGCGTGCGCAAAGGGTATTGAGCACGAGGAGCAGCGCAGTAGGACAGTAGCAACCACGCAACCTGGGTGTCCCCGACCAGGGGGAGGAGTCTGAGGAGCTCAGTTTGGCGAGCCAGGACAGACTGGAGGTGCGTCTCAACGAAGGCCGGCGCCCCGATAGGCACACCAAGAGCGACGAGCCCCTGCTGCGAAGGGGGCAAAGCTTGATCGCCAACCCACACACAGGAACCGGGCGCGAGAGCAGCAACACCCTCAGGAGCTATGCCGGCCTCGGACCACACACGGGCTTTCGCTGCGTTGAGGCAGCAACCGAGCATGGGACCACAAGTGATGCTCCAGGCGATGGTACAAGTGCGAGATACGCGCGGGCTGTGCCAAAACGTAGATGTCATCAAGGTATGCCAGCAGCTGCTCGTCCTCACGCAACTCAGCCTGAAGGGCGCGCAGCGCGGGGTTCAACGCGAGGGCGAACAAGGCAGGCATCCAAGGGTCGCCCTGCTCGCCCCCCCTCCGTTTGGGCAACACGGTAAGAGCGATCGCCGGCTTGCCACACATAACAGGACTCGCGTGCATACCAGAGTCGGCAGAAAGGGAGATGCACCCGGGACACCGCGCAGGGACGCAAGCATGGCCTCGCGGCTGACAAGGTCATATGCTGCGGAAACATCAATGGACAGGACCGCGAGGCGGGGATCAGCTTGCGTGCGTGCTTGCAAAGTGTGGGCCAGTGCTTCGCCACCAGCACGAGTGGAGAGAGCATATTGATGCGGATGGCAAGCCGCCTCGAAATCATCCGAAAGCTGCTGCGCCAGCGTGCGCGCAACGAGCCTGCGTAGGAGGTCACCAACGACGAGGCCGCGCGTGCCACCGGCGGGTTTGCGAATGGCAACCAACCGGCCCATCGCGAGTCCAGCAACAATGGCATCAGGCACCTGCGCGCGGGCGAGTAGGTTGGCAACTTCACAAAAGAGGCCGGAGGCATCCTCGTCATCGAGCACAAGGCGCAGGATTTCTGCTGTGTGACCGCCCGGCCCGGGCGCAGCAGCTTTGCGGGCCCGTCGGAGGTTTGTAAAGACCGCAGACCCAGCTAGCGCAACCGGCGTTTCAGGCACAAACTGCAGAACGTCGGGAGGCATGGGCCTGTATGGCTGGGGCAAGCGGCGGGCAGGGTCAGTCAGCTCCCGGAACGTCTCGTCAGAGGCAGGCGCACGTGGCTCAGCGACCAGGGCCTGGCGAGCAGCCGCAAGCTCACCAACATGGGCAAGTCTAGTAGCACGCTCGACCCCGCGCGGCACGTCATGAGGGGGAGCCCCGCGTGCGGGAGTGACGGCAGGAGCTTCAGACAACGCGGACCGCAACAACTGCTCCCACCAACCTTCGGCTTTCGCTTTCGCTTTCGCCCGTTCGGGTCCACGTGAAACATTACAAGCGTCAGACTGTTCCTGCTGCTAGTGGACCACGGTCCTAGAAGGACATGGGGAATGGGGGCGTGCTTGAGTGTTGGCACGATTCGGTCTATACATTCGTAAAGTAAAGCTTTGCACGTACTGGCTTGCAGCGGGCGGCCAATTTGCTGTTTCAGCAATATCAGTCCACGTATTCACCGCTGGAAAATTACAGGCTGCAAAACTGCGGAGTCGATCATCCCACTTCGTTAGCGGGCGACCGGGTCGAAATTTGCTTGCCAGTTGCTTTCTGGACACCATTTGACAACAGTCGCGGCCCAATTGGGAATTCGCAACATTTGGAAAGCGAAGTTGTACTGACGTCGTGCAAGCTGGCGAGACCAGGTGTCCACAGGGTGTATGTGTAACGCTGCAGTCAGTCTGTGTTTCATCCGACTCATAGTGCTGTGCCAATCTTCGTTTGCAACTCGCACCCAGCCAACCACAGAGCGAAGCATTCGTCGTTGCAATGCATCCAGTGTATGAACTTGTGACAGAGTCAACGGCAATACGTGTACTGGAGTCAATACTGTATCGAAAAATTTCAATCTCAATGCGATGGACACATGTTTGTTTTTTTTTTTTTTTCTTTTTTTTTGTTTTTTTTTTTTCCTCGCGGCGGTCGTGATCCAGGTCCCCACACCCCCCCTATGTACACACGTCTCACCGAGGCGGCAGGCGGCTGGGCCCCGCGAAATCGGCGAGCTCAAGGACATCAGCGAGGGGGACCCCGTCCGGCGAGCCCGGCAGCGCCGGCATCGTCCAGACACCCAGGGCCGTGCTGGCAACTGCCCTCTGCACGGCGACCGAGAGCAGGCCCCACCATCGCCTTGCCCACCCCTGGGCCGCCGTGGCACGCAGGGTTGCAGGGGCCCTCTGAACGCGGAGACGCAGGAGCTGGCGAACGAAGCGCTGGCACTCCTCGCCCCACCTGCCGCCCACCTCCGCCGCGAGCACGACGAGCCGTTGCGGACCTCCCCGCAGGAGCTCGGGATATCGCGCGTGCTTGCGGCGGCGCGCGGCCGCCAACGCGGCCCCGTCTCGCACGTCGGCACCTGGGACTGGGCGACCCGCTCGCGTCAGGGGCGAGACAAGCGTCGCGTCACAACAGAGTGCCTCACCGCCCGGCGTGGCCCCGTACACCACCAAGTCCAAGCGGCGGCGGTCCGCAGGCGCAACGCCAGGTGCCGTGGTCCGGGCCAGCCACTGCTGTGGCACTACTCGGCCCTCCGCCCCGACCGCCTCACGCGCGACCTGCACCCACGCGCGCTCAAGGACAAAGCCTCGGCGCGGCAGCAAGCCAGTACGCGGGCAGGCGACGAAGTGGTCACCTAACGCATCGGCCTGTCCATGGCAGCCGGGAGCTCCGTCGCCTCCACAATGCAGGGCGGTCAATGGTAGCGGCAGGCGGAGGCGTCGCCTGAGGGCAATGTGCATCAAGTCTGGGGCCAGGGTCGCAGCTGCGTCAGCCGGTATGGCGGCGAGCCACATGCCCGCATGTTGCCCAGACTGAGAGCGAAAGAGGGCTCGCGCATCGGGCGCCATGGCCGGGAGCAGTTCGCGTTCTCGGAAGGACGTGTGGAGTGCGAGAACAGCGCGTCGCTGCCAGCCAGGGCCACCGAGCCCGAGCTCACCGTCTGTAGCCGGGACCTGGGCCCCGTCGGCACATGCCGCCCAGTGAGGCCGCTCCTCCCAACCAGCCGCGTCTAAGCGCTCCGTAGCCGCCGCCGCTGCCCGCACGCAGGGCGGTGCGGCGACTGCATCGCCTTCGAGCGCGCGCACGAGTTGCTGGGCGACGTCGGGGAAGCGTTGGCGCAAAACTGGGAGGGCATCTGCCCAAGCCGCCCAGTATGCAGCCGGCGCAACCCGCTCTGCAGCCAACAAGCCCAGGCCCCCCAAGCTGGGCGGCAGGAAGGCGCCGAGGCGCGCTGCAATCCACGCAGCCTCCTCACCCGGGCCTTCCCCACCAAGAAGGCGCGTGACGACGTCCCATATCGCGTCATCGTGGGCCCGGGCATAAGGGAGGATGTGGTCGGGCGGGACGTTGCGGAGCAAATGCTGCGCCCGGGGCGACGCGCAGTAGACAAGGAGCAGCCACGCGCACTGGAGGTCCGGCAGGAGCGGCAATCGCCGCAGCAACTCGGCCTCGGCGCGCAGGCGCTCTTCGGCCTGGGACGCAACGAAGTCCGGGTGGCCGATCGGGACGCCGAGTGCGACGAACCCACGCTGTTCGGGCGGCAAATCACCCCGCCAGACGTCCGGGCCTAAGGCGGCAACGTCCGGCGGCGCTGCGCCTCCCTGAGCGTTGTATATTTGTGTCTTGCCGAGGTTGGCTGCGACGCCCGCGCCGCGCTCAACCTCACCTGCAACGACACCTCCCAGGTGCCCAGATCGCTCCGGCGTAGTCACGACGTAAAGATCGTCGAGAAACGCCAACAGGCGCTCGCCCTGTGCGAGGCGAGCAGCCGCAGCCACGAGCGACTCGTGCTGGCCTAACGCATACAGGCCTGGCGCGAGGGGATCTCCCTGCTCAATCCCCTCCGCTTGGGAGATTTCGTGGAGGGTCCCCTCATCGTCCCACCACAGAAAAGTGGACGTGCGTGCATAAATGGCTCGGGCGAAGGGCAAAAGTGCCGGCACCACCTCGCTGAGCTTTGATAGGATTGCCGCCCGGCTGATAGTATCATACGCACTCCTGCCGTCGAGGGAGACGACGGTCGCCCGCGGGTCGAACTCCACCGCAGAGCGCAGCATGGCAGCCAGGCTATCCGTGCCTGCACGGGTCCGCAACGCGAACTGAAACGGGCGCGTTGCTTCGTCGAGCTCCCCGGCATACGCGCGCGCCAAAGCACGAGAGACGAGGCGACGGAAGACATCTCCGGTGGCAATGCCTCTGACCCCTCCCTGTGGCTTGCGAAGGGCGGTGAGGCGCGACAAGGCCAGGGCGTCCAACGCAACCGGAGGAGCCTGCGCGCGAGCTGCGACATTGACCACGAATGTGAAGGCCTCTAAGGCACCCTCATCGTCGAGGAGCAACTTGTAGAACTCGACAGTGGCGCCCGACAGGCCAGCAGCTGACCCGCGCTTGGAGGTGCGAAGCGCGTCGGCGACTTGTTGCTTGGAGAGCGCGACCTCCTCCGCAGGGTGATGGTTCATCACGTGCTGCGGGACTGGTCGCAGCGGCTGCGGCGGCCGTCTGGAAGGGTCGGTGAGTGCTCGGAGCGTGGCTTCGTCCCCGGGCGCCAACGCGGCCGCAGTGAGGACCTGGCGCGCTCGGGAGAGCTCCCCTCGCCGGACCCGGGCACAGGCCGCAGCTGCGCGAGCCTCCGAGGCATCCGGGGTTGTGGGCTGCCGCGTGCGGGAGGGCACTGCGCCGAGCTGGCCATGCAGGCTGTCCCAACGACCTTCCCGAAAGAGTTGCACCCGGCGGAGTAGAACGGCCCGACCTTCTCCACCCGTCTCGACGCAACGGGCAAGGAGCAAGCGCGGCAAAAGCAAGAAGAGCTTCCACGCCCGCACACGCGCGACGTCGTCGCGGCCCTCATGCGCCACCCGAATCGCCTGAAGCGCGGAAACAAGCGCATGGCGGACTCCCGCGGCGAGAAAACGGGGCACGGTGTGCAGGGTGGGCACTTGGCGACGGAGCTCAGCGAGGAGATCAAGGCCGTCAAGCCACTGCCAAGCAGCGCGAGGGAAGTCGGGAAGGGAAACCGGCTGTCGATCCGGCACCTGGGCGTGGTCTGGAACCGGGGCCGCAGCAGTATCGCTGCCCGACGAATCATGGTCACGCTGACGCGCCCCAGAAGCCGGCGGAACGCCACGGCCCCGCCCACGGCGGCGTCCCCGCCCGCCGCGCGCGGATGTCTCGGCGACTTCTCCATGAGGGGGAGCGGCGCCCGGGGCCGGCATGGCGCGGAAGCGATCGGAATGCCGGTCAAGCGCCGACGCCAGCTGCATGCCTCCGTAGCACTCGAGCAAGGCCTCCTGCACGGGCGCGAGCAAGTACGCATCCGGCTCCCGGAGCTGGCGGACCGCCCATCCGACGTGGACACGCGCACTGCTGGGCAGCCCCGCATCCTGGATGCGTGAGACGAGGTCAGGCAGGTGATGCTCGTGTGTTGGCGCGGCCTCCACAGCACGGACTACAGCTGCCACCAGCGTTTGCGGGCTGACGGGCTCGGACGCCATGAGCACGTGACGGGCTTCTTCCCACCAGCTGGCAGCACGCGGGTCTGCTCGCCATTCCGCAAGCGCAGCGACCGCGAGATCCGCCGCAGCTGCATGGAGAAGCGGAACGTACAGCCAGGAGTTGGTGCTTTCCCGCACATCGCCTGTAGGTGGGCCGCGCGACAGCCAGAACGCACTGCCACCTCCGCGCCCAGACACGTGTGGGAGCGCCGGCGGCGCTGGCCTGACGGGCTCGGGCGCCCGCAGCTCCTCTGCTGGCCGGTTGCAACCGTGAGAGCAGCGAAGTCGCCCACGTTCGATGGCACGGTCGTATTCCCACCACAGCCGACTGCCGCAACCCCCGCAAGTCTGTCCGGCATTTGCCGGGACATGGATGTCATCCAGCTGGACATCCCGAGCGCAACCAGGGCACAGCCAGGCCGGTCGCCACGCTGCAATGCCCGCTTCGTGCCTAATCGGCTGCGGCGCCCAGTCCATGTCGCGGTGCGGCAAAGCAACGAAGTTGACCCCGCCTGCTCCGCGCGTGGCCGCAACACGGTTGCAGCACAGCACAACGACGCCTGGAGGCGGCGGCGGTTCGGGCGCGTCGTTGGAGGTGAAGGTGCGGAGCGCGTAATCCTGCACGGCTTCCCGCACAGTCTCTTCACCAGAACGCCGAGCCGGCATCTGCACACCCTGTCGCGCGCACTCGTCGCGCAACGCCGCGTCGTGTCGGGCCGTCCACCCTTCCGGCTCGCACGCGGGGCAGCGACTGTGGCGGCACAAGGGGCATAGTAAGTCGGCTGGACGGGAGGCTTGCGCGCGGAACTGGGCTAAGCACCCGAGGTGCAGCTGGTGACGCGCACACGTCGGGAACGGCCGCGGCGCGCGCTCTCCAGACACGCTCGGTTGGAGGGCTTCCAAACACACGCAACACGAGTCGAGCTCCGCCTCCGGCGCCCTCGGCGTGGCACTGCCGGAGGAGCTGGGCGGCGGCGACCGCGAAGCGACGGAGAGAACCGGGGACGGTTGGCGACGACAGCGATCCGGCGTATCCGCCCGAGAGATGCGGCGAGCCATCCACGCAGTGCAGACTTTTTGTCCTTTGGTTCCGTGAAGGCCGTGGTGGGCACGCGTCAGGTGGCTGCCAGAAGGCGCACGGACCTGAGGAAGCGCGCTTACCGATGCTTAAAGGTGTTCAGCCGCGAGGGAAGCGGCAAACGTGAGGCAAGAAAGAAAGAGGGGGAAAGGGACGAGGCCGGGACACACCGGTGAGGCAGCACAGCCACGGCAGCCTCGGAAGCGCCAGCGGCCGTACGCCCGCTAAGCCTGTTGGGTGAACCGGGGGCCGGACAAAAACTTGCAAGGCGGCTGCCGAGGAGGCGCTTCTGCCTGAGCAAAAACGGGACAGCTGCTGGCGGGGCGCAAAGGCTCAACCAGTGGCGAGGGTGCGGCCGCGGGCTCTTGTCGATGCCTTTTCCACGGAAACACACCTGACAGTGGGCGCAGGGACTATGCGCTCTGCACCCCACGCACCCCCGCCTCAAAAATAAGCGCCGCGCCAAAGGCTTCCTGAAAGCCGTGTGCAAGACGAAGCGAGCAAACACGGCACGCAACAGCAATGAGGCCCCAGCTTGACAAAACGCGGCCAGCGGCTGCCCCGAGGCGCCTGCGGCCGGTCCTTCCAAGAATTGTGTGCACTGGACTGGAGTGCACGTCTTCAAACCGGCACACTGAAATTACAAACCTGATCCACCAGTCAGCCTGCAAATGAACCACGAGTAGGTGACCGAGGCGGCAACCCCCGACCCGGCCGCGGCGGCCCAAGGGCGCCAGCGGCCAGGATCGGGCAGGCACCGACTCAATCAGCCCGATGCGCGTCCAGGCCTGGGTGTCAGCGAGCAGGACCGCGGCAATGGTGCAACCACGGTGGGAGAAGCTGGGGCACCGGCTGAGCCAGGAAAGGCGACGGTCCAGGCACTGGGCGAACTGGACTAAAGGCAAGGAAGGGCGAAACAGCTGGCCTGGTGCTGAAGGGGGACTGGTTGGAGTCAAGCCGAATGGGAACCCCGAAAGGTGACGAGCTCTGCGGCGGCGGTGGTCGCGCTGGTGGCGGGGACTCACTACCCGACAACTCGCGCCTCGCCCTAGCCTGGGCCCCCGACCGGCACCCTCGGTGCACGCGCTTACGGCGAACTCGCTCGGGCACCACAGCTCGAGTCGGCCGCACACGCGCCGGCGGTGGGGTAGGAGGCCTGTTGCGTCGTGGCGGGCTGCGACTGCGCGACCGACTGCTGGATGGGCTGCGCGCTGGCCCCGTGGGGGATCGGCTGGGCGTAGGGGAAGCGGGGGCTGCGTCAGGCGCGCGCTCCACGACCCCGCCCGCAGCCCAAAAGCTTTCCGCCGGCACCAGGAAGTGTCCGTCAACCTCGGTCCCCTGAAGTTTCACGCCGCCTAGCAAGAGTGTCACAGCCACCATGCACGAAGCGCACCTACCGTGGCTAGCTTCCCCCGGAGGCCCGTTACTACACAGCGAACCTCGTTAAAAAGGCCCGGAACCTGTTGGACGACGACAGAGCAGAGAACAGTCCCCTTGAGCCAAAATGGCTTGAGCCAAAATGGCTTTTGTTTGTAAGAATATGACGGTGTTTGCGAAACTTTGCCCATCCCACCTGGAACCTATGTTTGAGTTCTGTCTGACTGCGGCATCGAGGATCTGCACTGATATGTCGTCCCAAGTATTTGTGAACGTCGCCTGCAGTCAATACTTCGACCATGTCGTCGCTAACAGCCCATCAAGCTAGACGGGCGAGCGACGATCCTGCACTACGGCAGCTCCGCCAGAAGGTCGCCGACCGGCACCTCGGTGCCGTCACTGGCGTCGACAGGGTGGACCGGCAGCTCCAGCAACGTGGCCACGTGGGCTCTCAGCGCCGCCAACGAAACGAGACCCGTCCAGCGAGACCCGTCCATCGGCGAGCCAAAGCCCGACCCGAGCTCCACGCTGCGCGCGTCGCGCCGCGTGCCCGCGCCAAGCGCCGTATGAAGCCGAGCGGCTCTGCTCCGAAGCGGCCGCCCACTTCCAGTCCGAAGGACGACGAGGCGACATCGAGCGCGGTTAGCGGCTCAGGAGCAGAATCCGGAACTCGTCGCTGGGTACGGTGAAGTCCGGTCCCGTGGCATGCCGGTCGGGGTCAAAACAAGCGCGTCATCCGCCCCTGAGAAAAGCCTGCCCAGGCACTGCAGCGTCATGCGCCTCCGCGAAGGAGACTGTATCCGCCGGCGGCAAGAGCAACAGCGGCCACGTGCACTGCAGGTCTTGCACGTCCGGCAACCGGGCGAACAAGCCTCGTGTTTGGCGCTTATTTCCTCAAGCTTTGCTGCGACGAACTCGCGGGCACCAACGGACTGCCCAGGACGACCAGTCCCTGCATGTCCCTGCTGCGCCACGAGTAAGCTCCAGTCCCCGCGCCAACACGATGAACCGTCCTCCGCCAACGGGATCGCTTCGACTAAGCCGGCAGGCTCCTCCCCGGCTAGGTTCCGGGCCTTGGTTTTGCCGAGGTGGATGTGTCCATTGGCGTGCCCGGCGTGCCTCGGCAGGCACGTCTGGGCACTTCGAGGGTGCGCTCTGGATCGGATGTGAGGTAGACATCGTCGAGGAACGCATACAGGCCGTCTGCTGCAGCGCCCCGCCGCGCGCGACGCAGGTTGGCGAATAGCCGGTCCGCACTCAATTGGGCCTGCTCAACGGTCGGCAGGCGCAAGTCTGCGGCAAGCGGGACCTGGTCAGTCTGTGGTCGTCTGCGCGGGTCCCGAGGGCGTCCAACGTCGCTTGCGTAGCGGGCGCGAGGGGGGGCGCCGTGAGAGCCTTCGCCGCCGCGGACAGTTCGCCCACGTGTGCGAGGGCTGTTGCCCTCTCAGCGCGGCGTCTCCGGTCGGCCTCGGAGTGTTCCGGGGCGTCGGAGCCGCACCACGTCCCATCGCGCCGTTCCTGGGCGGCGTCAGCGCTCTCGCGCCAAAGTTGCAGCGACTGCCCAGTGCAAAACAAGTGTTCCCTGCGCCGAAACTCGGATGCCGGGACACGGGTCTGGCCGGGCGCTCGAAGAAGCAGCATGCGCGGCGCGAGGAGAAACGAGGCCCAACCGTCGCACGCCCCTACCCCCGCCTCGTCATCACGGACCGCCTCGAGTGCTACCCTCATCATTTCGGGGGAGGCCCCGACACCGCGGGGGCGACTGGAACGTGTAAACGCGTTTCTCAGCTTCAGACGCCAAGTCAACGTCACACAAACGCTTGGCAGGGGGGGCTTGCGCTGCGCTTGTCGTGGAGGCCCAGCGCTGGGCCACCACGGCCTGCGCGTCAGGCGCGACGGGCTCATTCGGGAAGTCCGCCGCGGCGACAGCGCACACGGCCTGCAGGATGTCCGGGCCCCGACTCGCGCAAGGCGCCCACCAGCTGGCTCCATCGCGGGTCAGCGCCCGGAAACGCACGCCACATACCCTCGGCGCCTCCACTCAGGGACCCGGCGGACGCATGGAGCAAGGGGACATACAGCCTCGAGTTACGTGCTCGGGGCCTGTGTGGGGGCACCTGCCATCTGCCATGGGGGCGCCGCTGCTCCAAGCAACGTCCGGCCCACCTCCCAAGCCTGTGCAAGCAGGTCAAAGTCCCGGGGCTAGGCGAAAGGGGTAGTAACGCTAAGCGTGTCCGAAACTGTCTCGGCATCACTCGGGACGCGTTCAGCCGCAAGCGTTGGGACTCGTCGTTCCGGCGCCCTGCGACTTCGGCAGCCAACACGCACAGGCCGCTGTGCCCACCCGGAAGGAAAGTGCAGAGTAGCGCGCACGCTTGCATCGCGCAGCGGCTTCCAGTGCGGTCAGCGGCGCCGCGGGTGGGTCTGCCATCCCGCAAAGCGTCGCGCCACCGCAAAGGGTTTCGCCGCTGGGTTGCGCCATAGATGACGAGATCAAGGCGCCGTCGGTCATCCGGCCGCACGTTTGTATCGGCGAGCCACCGGGCCGACCGCCTCGCGCGTGCGCGACCTGCACCCACGCCTGCTCGAGCACGAAGCCTCGTTGTGCTGAGAGACCGGTGCGCGGACAAGCCGCGAAGTGGTCCCCCAACGCATCAACTCGCCCACGGCCTCCGCAGCGGGCGCGGGCAACCCAAGGAGGATGCGGAGGCCTCTCCACTAATTAACCACTCCGGGACGCAAAGAAGAATTCAATGTCAGGCTCAAAACTGTGGGCCGCAGGGGCAATCGTTCATTCTATTCGCGATGCATTTCTTACGTGCCCCAGGGACCGCAACCCGCCTCATCCCATCGACAACATTAAGTGCACCCCACGTTGCACGACACGCAATTGAAAGCACAAGCTTCCAAAGTACATAATGCTTTGGAATCATGGTCGAAGCAGTCGTCCAGCGTGCCACATTGGCCGTGGCTGTTTTGGGAAGGCGCGGTGCAAATGCAGCGCAACGAACCACTTCATCTAGAATTTGCTGCGTGTGCTGCAAGCTCACGGTTACGTGGGAGATTCACGAAACCCGTCCAGCTGCGGGGCGGGCACGAGGCGCAGCGCGCGTTCCGACAGCATTGCACCCGGCGCATGCTTGCCCGCGATGCTGGACTGCGCTGACGTCGACAGCCGCCAGATGGGCAGTCCGTTGGCGACGACCTCTATGCGCCGCGCATCACCGGCGGGCAGGTCCAGAGTCATGTCGTGGAGCGCAGTGCTGGCGGCTACGCGTGCTGCTGCTTCTCGGCAAACGCGTGCCGCTGCGCGCTCCAGGGGATCAGCTCGCTGGGCCAGCACCCCCGCGTGAGCGCACGCTGACCTGTGGTCTCCATACTCCTCCAATGCCCCCCCACAGCTGCATCGCTTCGGTGCCAGGGGGAGCGGCATGCGGAGGCGGCGCATGCACATAGCCCCCTCTGTACGGGCAGCTGCAACATGCTGCAACGTTCACAGACTCGACCCACACCCACTCGTGCCCGAGCACCGCTCAGCAGTTGCGTACTCAAGCAGTTCGTATATGTTCGTATGGAGACGCTTCGAAACATCCACGCTGGACCATGACCCTCAACACTCATATCCCCGAAGGTCACAACACTTGTGGAAAAGAACATAAAAATGTCAAACAATCGGCGCCAATGCTGCCTCACCATTGCGGCACGAAATCCATCGTGAACGTTTCCAACTCCATGACGAGCGTGCCCGATGAATGCAGCAAACGTTACGCTGATAACTCGCGCACATGCCGTTCAGACGCACGTCGTAATCATGCAAAGTCAGAAAAAGCATGTTGGTGTGGAACAAATTTACGTGCCGCCAGGGACCGGGGATTGGATTCGTGGCTGTTCCTCCCTTCCTTTGCGAAACGCCAGACGAGCGACGATGGTGCTGCGAAAGCCACTGCTCTCGTCCATCTTGCGGCACTGTCGGCCGCCGCACGGGCTTGGTCACCGAACCTCTCGCGCCTGGCTCCCCCGACACCCTTCGCGAGTTTCGCGACCCCACTATATAATCGGCCCCCGGAGCCCGACGCGCCTCCCGATCCGGAGATCATCGAGTGTAGACCGGAAAAACTATGTGCGCTGTTCGGGCTGCCTAACCTCGTGGGGGTTGCCCTGAGCGTCATGCCAGACGTATGTGCGGTCGGTGGCATAAAACTGGCGGACGCAGGGCAGCAAAGACTGCTGGCTCGGCCTCTCTGCTGCAGACCAGCGAACATCGAGTGGCGGGAGTCGTGGTCAAAGGCTCCCACCGCGTCCATGGACAACACCGTCGCACGCAAAGGGAGACGGACCAGCGCTTCCGTGCCTGCGCGGGGGCTGAGGCCATACTGACACAGAATGCAGGCGGCTTGGAGCTCGGATGCGCCGTGTGCCCGACCAAGCGGCGCAGCACGTCCACGACAAAGGGCCGCACACGCCCATTGTGCTTGCGGAGGGCGACTATACTGCCAGCTCGGATGGTTACGACAACCGGCGCTGGCATGTGTGCACGTGCATGTCTCGCGAGGTCCGCCTCCCAAAGCATCGGCGTCAAACACCCGGGGCATGCGGGGGTCGGAACCGGGACGCATACGCTACAAGTGAAACTCGTTCTGGCAGCGCATGCACATCCATTGGGGTCGCCATGCCTCGATGCCATCGGTGCTCCGGCGAGGCAACGCGGTATGCGGTCCAATGCATGCGGGCATGGGGCAGCTCCGCGAAGTCGAGCACCGGCCCCGCGAAGCGGCATGCCGCCCGGATGTGAAGCAACTCCTGCGGCTCGGCCGCACCTGCTCGTGAACAGGTCTGCAACGCGTAGGCGCGCACAAAGGCAAAAGCTGTGTCGGGCGCCGGAGGCCAGGCCCAGCAGGCGCAGCCGCCGGAGGAGAAGGACGCGGAACCGGGCATTGAATATGCGCTCGGCCTTGTCGTTGGGCGAGCACGAGCAGAGTGAGGCCCTGCCTGAGAGAGCAGCA